GCGAACGGTGTTGGTCGGCGGGCATGTAAACATTCAGGCCTTATTGTATATACCATATACCGCAGCGACAGGCAGCCAGGCGCGGCGTGATCTCATGAAGCATTAGCCTCGGCGAAGAACGCATCACATTGGCATCAGCAGCCTTATTATGAGATGGTCCCCCCGCTTGTATGTTTCCTCAGCATCATTAGTAGCAATGGTACAAGCCAATTTAGAGTCTGGGCGGTGAAAAGCGACAACTTCTTTCTAACTCTGAGGTCAGTTTGTACCCAGTTTTTGTCTAACAGTTATTGTTTTGGCATGATGGCTGCATTTTATATTTCTCTGTTGCAGTATAAAAGGGATGAGATGGTGAAGGACTGGTCGGATTATTGATATCGCGGGTTTATGAAAATCAGCTTACTTTGTTCCTGGTTTCTTTTCGTTCACGTATTGCACCTATCTTCCATCTTAATGCAAGGAATGAATGAAGATGGGCCTCGATACATGGTTTTCTTTGTTTATCTTGACCTGTGATCGCCGATATCTCAAATATCTTTGTTACTACAGGCGATCTCAGAAGGTGCACGGGTGTGTGTCTCAGTTTGTGCGCTTGCGCTATTTTGCGACGTAGTTTCGTAAGAAGATTTGAAAAAATATGAAGGAAAGTTAACCGCTGTCAACTGAACACCACCCAAACACTTTTGTGTGTGCTTGTGGGCCTCATCCGATCAACTCAATTTGCCAAATATCGTATGATCCCATTTTATTTGTTACATGCAAGACGATAACAAATACAACACTTTCAACGTCTGTTATTGGGGAAGCCCGGTTTATACGTAGTCCTGGCACAATCTCGTTCGTATCGCATAATGTTAATGCATCCGGTTTGCATCGGATAATGTTAATGTGGTGTCCCAAAAAGAAACAAGGCCTGGATTCGCGATTTGCATTGGTCAGGGTACCTCAAACAAGGGGCGGCCCCTTTGCCGGTCACAGCTCACAGTGCCTAACAGTGGGTCCTGTGTCGGCAAGCGACCCTGAGGAGGCCAGGGCCCGAGTCCAAGGGTGGGGGCTGAAGAGACGCTGGAAAAAACCGAATGTCCCCCGGACTAAGGACCAAGGGCCTGACTGAAATACTGGAGGGCCAGAGGGGACCGAGGGGCAGTCTATAGGTCACGGACTCCGCCTGCAAGGCCATGACTTCAAATGTTAGTCAGCGAGCCTCTTTCTCAGATCAGAGATCCCTGGAACACTGCGAGCTCTGTTTCGGCCAACACCGCACAGTCAGCTCTGGGTCGGTCGGGGAGCCCTGAGGGCCAATTTACCAGATTTCCCAGACAGGGAGAAGGCCAGGGTCCACGATTTGCATTGGTCGGAGCCCATGCAACAATGAGAGTCCCTGTGTCGACCAGGCGCCCATATTGTCTAACAAGAGACCTTGTGTCGGTAAGAGGTCCCGAGTCGGTCAAGGAATGTGGCAGAACAGGGGCAGGGACGAAACCCCAAAAGCCGAAGGGCCTCTGGGGCTGGTCGGGGCCCAATGGCATTGGGAGATGTGAGAATTTGCGGTCATCGACAATGTGACAGCGGAGGGCTCTGCGTCGGTCAGGGCTCTCAGTACCGAACAGAGTGTCCTGCCCCCCATTTCAGCCAAGGCCCCACTAAGCCGAACCGTATTCTGTTCCAATCATTGGACCACCCGCGGCGATAAGGAACCTTGTTGCATCAATGATGGTTCCTGCGTCCATACGGGGCAAGCTGTCCCAGTCAAGAGTGCCTCCCGCGTCAGGGAGGGGACAATGTATCATGTGTTCCGCTAAGGGTCTCCGGATCGAGCAGGGAACCCGCCCCATGTCGCCAGAATGGCAGAAGGTAGACACCCCACGCTAGGACAAAATGACCCTTATGCCCTTGACCCGGAAGCATAATCTACCTCCTAGTGTTCTATTCACGGCACCTCTTGCCAGGAAAAAGTAAGGGGTCCTTTATGTGATCATTAGAGCAGATCAGAATGAGGTCAAAAATAAAAAAGGCTAACCCATGTTCTCTTGGAAACTTCATCCTTTTGACATCTTTTTGAAGAATAACCAGTGAAACAAATTACATAAAGAGCTGATGAAGCTGCGCGCTCGCAATCTTGGGAAGAAGAACGCTATGGCCGGGCTTACATTTACTGTGAAACCGCACGGCGTTAACCACTGCAGATAACACCAAGCGGCGAGTGCAGGGCACGCGAGAGCAATCGTCTAATAATGATGCCGAAAGTCTCTCCAAATCAATTCATAGATATGGATCATATATATATATATATATATATATATATATATATATATATATATATATATATATATATATATATATATATGTATGGGATATATTTTGCATTTCATTTTTGAGGTTGTCCTTTGAACAGAGAAACAGTCACAGCAACTTTCAAAATGGAAATTTTACCTTAGCTCTTTCAGTTCCAGCAACAGATCCCATGATCAGTTCGTGGCGCTCTAAACGCCAATCTGTTTCTATATCAATATACAAATCGTGTAGGTGCAATACATACCAGGACTTCTTTCTAAACGTACAAAATGTCGGCCTAAAGCGTGGGAAGGATTTTCTCCGTGCCATTTTCGTCCCTGCTTGAGCTGCTTCGGGGTGTCATCCGCAGGGCTGACGCTGCGAGGATTCGTCGGGGTTCTTCTCTTCCAGATTTGCGATCGGGCATGTTCGGAACGGATGCTGATCTGATGCTGGTGATGATGATGAGAGAGAACGGATGCTGATGATGAGATGCTGATGCAAGATCAGTATGCTGCATAGTTGTTTTATGGTATCAGCCTATATGATGTGATTTATCTTGATAATGTTATGCTGGCTGTTACTTTATTTTTATCAGTAATCGATTCGAACTGAAGGGTGAATGAACACTTCCAGGTGAACCTGGGTTGGCCATTGTCATAAAAAATGGCCTATATTGATTTACACTCTACGTTCATGGAGCTTCCAATATCTCTGTGGAATCAAACAAAGATCTGGCAAGATCTTTGAGTTCCATGTAGTTTTTTGGTTGGAGGAAGAGTCCATAGAACCAACGGAAATGAATAGCGCCGTTGGTTAATTCCATGTAGTCATTTTATACCCGCTTCTTTCAGTTTATTGTTTTCGAAATGGAAATATATTGCGCCTTTGCGTAACTACTGGCTCCTGTTCCAGTCAAAGGTAACAGAAGAAAACGAAAACATTCGTACCCCCAGGAAATCAAGCGGGCCATATCCGGTGATTGGGGGGGAGGGGGGCAGGGGTGGGGACCTCTCATTATCGGAGAGCCTTTTGTCAGTCCTTAACCTCCTCCCCCTCCCCCCTGCTTGTCAAGGCTCTGGCTGCGTTCCCGACTGGCGTTCCTGTGCTGCTGCGACCCGGTGCCGGTCAACAACACCATGACCTCGGCCGCGCAGCCGCGGAGCCATGAGCGCCAGGACGCCGGAACAAGCGCCGCCCTGCGTCCCGGTATGCGGGCTCATTTCCGAGCGGCCGCCTGGTACGCCGGCGAACCGGACCCGCCGTGAGCCGGGGCATCGCCGAGCCCGACACGTCCAGAGCCGAACCGGAGCCGCCGGCCTCGGGTGGAGCGCGCCGCGACAGAGGTGCACCCACGGACCCGGCGACACCGCCGTCTGGCGGCGGCGCCGCGAACCACCACCACCCGGGATGCGACGCGCCGCGCCCGATGGGCCGTCTGTAACCGAACCCGCCCGCCTCTTGGTATCCGGTGACGACGGAATGGCGCAACCGTACACCGCCAGCTGTTTAACTTCGGTCCCGTATAAATAGACGACTGCTACGGTTACGTTGTTTTGTAACCCACACCGCGGATCTCGTGAAAGGCAAGACCGACGAAACACGGATCGACTCGCCGGTAATATGTTACATTCGGTCGTGGCAGCTGGCGGTCAGGGGAGATGCCATGGCGCTCGCCGGCAGCATCGGCTATCACAAAGCATGTGGTTGGACTTGGTGATGCATTCTCAGTGGTTGCTGCTGGCTCCTCGGTTGGCAGGAGATGTGCTCCTCGGTCGCCAGGAGGTGCGCTCCTCGGTCGGCAGGAGATGCGCTCCTCGGTCGGCAGGAAGTGCGTTCCTCGATCGGCAGGAGGTGTGCTCCCCGGTCGGCAGAAGGTGCGCTCCTCAGTCTGCAGGATAAGCGCTCCTCAGTCGGTAGGAGGTGCGCTCCTCGGTCTGCAGGAAGTGCATTCCTCGGTCGGCAGGGGGTGTGCTCCCCGGTCAGCAAGAGGTGCGCTTTTTGGTCGGCAGGAAAAGCGCTCCTCGATCGATAGAAGGTACGCTTCTCGGTCTGCAGGAAGTGCGTTCCTCGGTCGGCAAAAGATGCGCTCCTCGGTCGGAAAGAGATGTGCCCCCCCCCCCCCTCCCCCCGTTCGGCAGGAGGTGCGCCCGTCGGTCGGCAGAAGATGCGCTCCTCGGTCGGCAGGAGATGCGCTCTTCAGTCAGCAGGAGATGCGCGGGCGAGTGATTGCTCTTTGGAAGTGGCAAGTAAACCTATCTCAGCGCCGGTTTATGATTGAGATTTCGTGGCCAGTCTGAAAAGTGATGCGCGCTTGACATCTCGACTGGCAGAGACGCGCTGTTCCAGTTCCAACAGCAGACTCAGGACAACAGACCGCTGCCTTCCCCGCCCACCATCAGCCGGGCCACCACTGACCGCCGCCTCCCCTGCCCACCATCAGCCGGGCCACCACTGACCGCCGCCTCCCCTGCCCACCATCAGCCGGGCTACCATTGACCGCTGCCTCCCCTGCCCACCATCAGCCGGTCCACCACTGACCGCTGCCTCCCCTGCCCACCATCGGCCGGGCCACCACTGACCGCCGCCTCCCCTGCCCACCATTAGCCGGGCCACCACTGACCGTTGCCTCCCCTGTCCACCATCAGCCGGGCCACCACTGACCGCCGCCTCCCCTGCCCACCACCAGCCGGGCCGCTACTGACCGCTGTCCTTGCCTATTCCAGGAGTTCGCCGAGACGGCGATGAAGGAGATGCTCAGCTGGTACGGGTACGAGCGGCGCGACTCGCCACCGCCGGGGCGGTACGAGCGGCGCGGCTCGCCGCCGCCGGGGGCCGGGGGCGCCGGCCGCCTCAGCCGGCCTTCCTCGCCCGTCACGGACGGCTCCATGTCACCGCGCGCCGTCTCGCCCGTCACGGCCGCCCTCGCCAACGGTGAGGGAGAGCAGGGGCCGGGCGGTGCCGAGAGTGGCCGGCGCCACCGGCGGCCCTCGTGTCGCCGGCTGGTAGGAGTGTCAATGCATGGTCCCGGTGCGGTGAAGTGAGTTGTATTAAAAGGGCACTGTTACGCACGAGGGGTCGAAATTTAACCGCGCAAGTTCATTGTTAGATGGGCGTGCCTGAATAGAAATGTAACGCATGTTTCCTGACACCTGGCCTTTAAAGTTTAACAATCGTATCTGGAAGAGCGACTGTCCGGGCTCTTCAAAATGCTTATGAAATGCACCCACGATCATCAGTATTTAAAATACATATTTATTTCACATCAATTTCAGCAACAACGCTTCAGCAGAATAACCATCTGTAGCCAACTTCGTTTCGAAATATCGCTGTACTGGGATGACGTTGGTAGTCATTATGCTGATTCAGATCGAAGGAAGCGCCAGTCCCACACTCTGGTACGTCGGTGTTTGACGCCTTATGAAGGTGCACCGCCGGAGACACAATGCTTCAGTGTGGTGAACTTGTAGATTTGCGGCGGCGAATGCCGCTGGGCCAACATGGGCGTCATGACCATAGGCGGATCCGGGGGGGGGGGGGGGGGGGAAGGGAGGGGACACGGGGCCATGGCCCCAACAAACTCTGGGAGTATGTTTTGGTCCCGAAAACATTTCCAGAACTTCATAAAAGTTTTGTCTGCTTACCGCTGTTTTGACTTTGATGGTGCGGTATCAAACATTTCTTTCCGTTCCGTATCATTTCGGTGCTTGAATGGTGTCCCTACTAGGTACTCGCGAGAGGCACCATGCACTGGACCTCGGATCCCACACCAGCCAGCTGGCGACGAACGGTTGCCCCCCCCCCCCCCCCTAAGAAAAAAACAACTCCAGGCTGGATCCGCCCCTGGTCGTGGCAGTGCCTTTTGGCAGAGGGTATGCGACAATAATTGCGCACAGCTTATGAAAAATGCCCTGAACTTAATTTGGTAGATGGAAATGCCTGGTGTAGCGTTATAAATACAGCGGTCCTGTTAAAAAAGACCACTGTCGCCCAGTTGTGTTGGTGGTGCCTGCAGCTATTCATCCAACTGGGCGCGCGAGGGAGGATGGCCGGTCGGTGCACGGGAGGTGGGCGGGGCCTGATGGCGATGACTGAGCGGCCTGATGATTTGAATTAGGTGTGTGGGGTCGAACGGAAATGCGCATTGTTTGCTGATTCTTTGCTGTGTACCATGCCAGTGCACATTTGGATGGAGTTGCATCTAAATTGGGGTGACTTCTGCGATCGGAATCTGTTATTCAAAACTAGCATATCGATTGTTAACGATCGTTTTTAAGGCTTTTGTGGTGCGTTACTGAAACTCTTGTAAATTGGGTAGACATTTAAAATGCTGATGGTCATGAGTCTAATCTGGAAACATGAAAAACGCTAGGACAACCACTATTTAAAATTGTATGCCTAGTTTAAGATTGCTGATCCGAATCATTCATTTCAGTTCTTTGGGGGGGGGGGGGGGGGGCTTGCAGGTCCCAGGGGCGTTCTACAGTACCATTGGTAGTATTATCATCAAACACTGCGCCATGTATGGCGTGGGTGCTTCCATTACAAGGCATAGTTTTTCGTTGCAGCTTTTCAGTTGTTATGCTCATCTGACTTGGCAAGGCATTGCAATGCGAACAGATTTTGCACATGTTGTCTGTCGCACATTGACGTCGTTTCCGACTTCGAGCTAAGAAAGCAACACGTTTGTAAATAATATTGGTCGGTGAGATATTTTAAATATAGCAGGTGCGTTGCAGACGCATTTTGTTCGCCGTGCCGCACCAGAGGGCCTTGAGTCAAGCGTACCTTTAGCGGCGGCAGGATTTTAAGCATAGCACTGTAAAATGTCAGCAATGGCGCAAGCACAATACCGATGAAGGATGTCCTTATGTGGATCCGCACCGACACCCTTCGCCAGACACGTGGCCGCGACACCGAGTCCCGTGTGGGCCCGCATGGGCATCCCCTGCCGGCTGCTACCCACATGACCAGGGGATGCTTGTGCGGTGCAGCATTGAGAGCAGACCCAGGCTGCTCCCTCCTTCTGCTGGCTCTCGGGTTTCACCAAATGGGTGGGAGCACGCCTCGCATCACGCACAGGAGTACCGGGTCGGCGCCTTCTCCGAAGCGCGGCCTCGGGGCGGCGCGTCCGGGACGCCGGGGGCGGCCCCGCCCACCTCCCGTGCACCGGCCGGCTATCGTCTTTCGCGCGCCCATTTGGAGCTCAGTGGGCGCGCGCCACCGGAGCCGGCCAGGTAGCGTCGCGCGCCGTCTGGCCGGCTCCCGTTACCCTCATTTGGCGCGGCGCGGCTCCCAGCGGACGTCCGAGCCGGCCGCGCGCCGTCACCCCTGCCACCGGTCGATGCGGCTGATTATTCCCGGCGGCCGCGCCTCGACCGCCACTGATCCCCGCCTGGGGACCGGCGCCGCCGGTTCGGAGCTCCCCCACGATCCCGAAACCGCCACGCCCTCACCGGCACACTGGACGCCGGCCTGAGCCCCCCCCCCCCCCGAGACACCCACACCCACACGGGCACCCGGACGCCGGTCCCGGGATTCCCCACACTCTCGGGATCTCCACACGCACATTCGCGCTCTGGCCGCCCCTGAGCTCCCCTACATTCCCGAGACACCCGCGCTCTGGCCACCGACCACGGGCTCCCACACACTACCGAGACACCCGCGCCCTCACCGGCACTCTGGATACTGGCTCCGACCTCCCTCGCACTCCCGAGACACCTGCATCCTGGTCACCGACCACGGGCTCCCACACACTCCCGAGACACCCACACCCTTCTCCCCCGACCACGGACTCCTACGCACTCCTGAGACACACGCACCCTAGTCGCCGGTCCCTGAGCCCCCACTCCCGAGACAGCCACACTTTGGCACCCTGGCAGCCGCGGCTTGTTTATGCCCTGCGCTGTGTTCGATTTTGGTGCATCGACTGGCTGGCGCCCTGACACGCCCGATCCCGAGGTTGACCGACGGACCCTGCCATACCGGCCGCTCCCTCGTCCCGGCGTCCGCAAGCCGGTCATACTCCGCGCGTCCCCGGCAGCGCCACCTGGCTTGTGTCCGTCACCGCATCTGTCCATTTCCACAGACGCCGGCTGCAAGAGGACGCCGGTGGTGTGCTCCTGGTGCAACAAACTCGGCGCCCAGCTCTACACTATGGGCTCGAAGGCGTTTTGTTCGGAGCCCTGCTTCAGCCAGTCCAGGTGGGTGGGAAATCCTACTCTGCAGCCCTCCGCGATGAGAGTGGGGTAGAAATGGTGTCGCAGCCACCTTCCAGTGGTGAGTGAGCATTCAATCGTGTTCTAAAGGGCGGAGTCTTCTTTTCCACGTGGACAGGGCAGTGATCGGAGGTCCTCTGTGAAAGAAAGGTGTACGTCAGGCCTTAATGTCATGCCACAATTGTACGCTGTCGTTAAGAAGCCCCCAGCTGGAAGAAAAGAACTCTGAGAGGAAGACTCAAAGCCATTAAGAGCAAATAGTGCTTCTGCCTGTAATACCCACAAAACGAAAATGTTCTTCGCGGCGGGTTACTCGGGCGAGACACTTACTAGGTATAGTGTGCAAGTACAATGTAATCACGGCTCCCCATCTCACCGATTGCTCCCTTTGCAGAGCGGCAAACTTTCGTAAGACGAAACTGTGCGACTGGTGCAAGAACATAAGAGATTCACTTAACATTGAGTACATAAATGGGGATCAACAGCTTCAATTCTGTAGGTGAGTTGGCAGTCCGCCCGCGTTCTGCTTGTGCATATAAACATGTCTGTGTGAGTTATTTCAGTGTTGTTTTGTAGTGTGCTGCCACATAAAAGTCCAAAGTGTCAAACCCAGTTTTGCTCGGAACATACAATGTGGGGAGAGGATGGGGTCTCTACTGCTGATAGAGCCATGAGGGTTGCATGGTCTTCGTTATTTTGCTCGAGGTGTACATAAATACGCGCGTTGAGGTACGTTAGCGCCAGCAGAACCGTAGAACTGGGAGAACGTACGCAGAGCTGGTGACTCCGGCAGTGACTGATAATAATCGACAGTGACTCCGCCGGGAAAGGCCTTCTCCGATCACGTGTTCGCAGAGGTTTACACTGGTTTTGCGATTCCGTGGACCGGTAGAGGTTTACACTACTTTTGTGATTCCGTAAACCGGTAGACCGGACGATAGGTCCACCCGGGCCACCAGCCACCAAACTTCGGCAATTGGCGTGCTTGCCCCCAATAACTGTCTTGTGGCTATGTCAATGACTGGGATCAGATGGGAATGAAGCCAGCCTGCTAACCGGTACGTGTCAAGAAACACGTCACGTCCAACTGATGCAGCGCCTTGTTCATTCACGCGTAGCGACCGTAGATGGGAGAAGATGGGATGGGACTACCGTCACGTTTGCTTTGACATTCATTGGAGAACGAAATTCGCATCCTATGAATCCAAGTATCGGTTTACATAGCACACAATTTCCACTTTCGCAACATGCCCTCAGGCATCGTCACGTGGCAGTACATTCTTTTCTAGCACACTGCCTGTGGTTTCAGTGAAAGCTGCCTGAACGCGTACAAGATGAACATCTTCTGCAAGGAGACGGAGGCGCACATCCAGATGCTGCCGCAGCTGCGGGAGCTGGTGTCACGCTCCTCCAAGGACTCTCTCATCACCCCCGACATGTGGCTGCGGGACCGGCCGCTGGCAGGCGGCGTCACCACCGCCGGCGAGGTGGCGCCACTGTCGGCCGCCGAGAGCGGCGGCGCCGCGCCGGTCGACCGGCGCCGGCTGCGGCGGTCGCGGCCCGACACGCAGCGGGCGCCCGTGCGTGGCGTACGCGCCCGCAGCCACACGATGCCGGTGCTGGAGCTGCGCGAGCGGGCCCGCCGGCGGCCGTCAGCGCCGGCCCGTCCGCCACCGCCGCCGCCGGGTGCCGGTGCCGGTGCTGCGGCCGCCGCCGTAGGCCCGGCCGGTCCGAAGCCGGCGACGGCGGCGGCGGCGGCGGGGCTGCCCCACGCGCCGCCGCCGCCGCCGCCGCCGCCCGCCTGGCAGCGCTACCACTTGCTGCGACCGCAGGGGGGCGCGCCGCCGCCACCGCCTCCGCCACCGCCGCCGCCGGCGCTGCCGTTCGGTCTGCCGCCGGTGACGGTGCTGCTGCCGGTGCCGGTGGCCGTGCCGGTGCCGCTGCCGCTGCCTGTCCCCGTACCGGAGGACGTGTGCCGGGAGCTGCTGGCGCGCTTTCAGCGTCGCGAGCCGCCGCCACCGCCGCCGGCTACCGCGCCCGCCGACTGTCCGATCCTGAAGCGGGAGCTGGAGAAGGACTCGGCCTCCAGCTCGGACGCCGAAGGCCTCGATCTGACCGTGCGGAAACGAAAAACGGACCACCCAAGGAAAATCAAAATGGAGGAGGATGACTTTGACTGATCTAGTGAGGGGAAATTCTTGTAGAATATGAAGATTTTAAGTACATGTTCTGAAGATGTGTTGTGGTGCTATTAACGTTTTGTCAATATATCTTATCAGCCCAGATGTCATGATTGGTTCTCATTCACTCGCAGCAGAAAATCGTTTGCCCAACGAAAGAGGTGGCTCAAGCAAGTGACATGCTGTCCCTTAAAGAGTAAAGGACAACAACAAACGGGCGAACAACCAGGTCTAAAATATTTGCGAATCCTTGCAGTTCATGTCGCTCCATGCCAGCTGAGGAGCATGCACACTGCGGACTTCCGAGCCACGCACAATCCGTGTAACAAGATATCACGGAACATGAGTGGGAATGCGCGTGATTGGCATTTCGGCGTTGCTTATTAGAAGACTTACCATCACGTATTATCTGGTTTCCGTCTTGGAGATAATGCGCGCATAACGCCGCGTAATAGTCGTCGGATCGCAGGAGGCTAGAATGCGCTAGCACAAAAAAGGATGTGCGGCTGGTGAAAGCCCAATCGGTTACACGTGTTGCCTACCCGAGTACGCCAGACCCCCCCCCCCCCCCTCCCCCCCATGCAGTCGTTATACGCTACGCCGCAGTTCGATAACGACCGTATGACGCTCCATCAGGTCATCGATGCGAGTTCTGTCCTGCGTTTTCAACGCATATTCGAGCTCCAAGGTTGTTATGTTGGTGCTAGACAAAATGAAGTTGTGGATAGTTTGCGGGAAGGCATTGCTCCATCACGCGCAGTTCTGTGCCCACTAGGGCATAAACATCGGTGTTCGGTGACATCCTGATCCTACGCCCTCTGCTCTTTTGGCAGGACACTGATGGTTATCTACGCACAGTACTGCGGCACTCGTGCTGAATCTGTTGTAATCTTAAATGTTCTTAAGTTTTAACGATCGTTGCTCGCAAAGGACCAGCGCCCCTTGAATAACTGCGTTTCACGTGCTGAAACATTCAATAGACAGTAAGGTTCCATGTTCGTTGCTAAAACATGTGCTGATTCACTTGATTTATTTTGTCGAAGATAAGCCATATTCACACAATGTTATGAGAAGGCAGCGGGAAGATCATGCAGACAAGCGCGCCCTCTGCGGCTCGGAAGGCGCTTCACACAACGTTAATCAACAGAATGCGGTGAAGACGTTAGTCACTGGCAGTTTTCCATGGCCCGAAGGGCGCGGCGCGGCCGGCCGACCACCTCTGCCTTCTGGCTGCGGCGAGGGCCGCGTCGCGCAGCCGGCGACGGCTCGCCGCGCCGGCCGGTGTCCGGCGGCGTGCCGCCCTCCGAGTCGCTGTCCAGCAGGACGCGCAAGCGGCGCCGCCGCGGCGGCTGCGCGCTGGCTGGCTCGCCAGGCGCCGGCGCCGCGACAGCAGCGGCGGGCGCGGCGGCTGACCGCGTGCTCCGTCCGTCGCCGGTGGGCTCCTTCATCTCCGCGGGCTGGACGTCGGCCGGCTGGCGGGCGGTCGCGGCCCTGCCGGCGCGGCCGCGGCCGCTGCGGCCCGTCTCCGCCGGCCGCTGTGCACGGTCGCCCTCAGCCAGCTCGACCGCGGCGTCCAGCTCTGGCTGGCCGTCGTCGACGGCCAGGCGCGTCCGCCGCCGGGTGGCGCGCACCTGAAGCGGCGCGGCGGCCAGCTCGGAGGGGCCACCGGCCGCCGCCACTGCCGATATCTCGTCGGTCGTCGGGGCATCCGGCGCTACCTGGCGTCCTTTGCGGGTCACGCGAGGTGCATTCTTGGACTTGGGGACCTGTTCGCCAGAACTTTCCAATCTTCCGGTTTCCCCGGAGACGGCAATATCCTTTGCCTCGGCCTGCTCCTCACAACTGGTGATCGGGGTAGTCTCGGATTCAGCCTCCACGTCAGCTTCGATGCCAGGCTTTGCGCGGCGCCTCCTCCCGGCAAGCCCTGGGCCATCGCCGGGCAATGCCTGCGGCGGCTGACAGCGGGCGGAGTCCGGATGCTTCGGCGGACACACACCTTCCACAGAACTGTCCCCAGCCACCTCGTCAGCGGCCGGCTTAGCCTTCCTGCTCCGGCCGCGACGCTTCTTTGGGGCTTCCTGCGCGGGAGGCGGCGTCGCCCGCTCGGACGACGCGCTCTCCTCGTCACCGTGTCCCGGTGGCACCATGCCTGCGACCGGCTTGGCCTTGGATCGGCCACGCCTTTTTCCCGGTATCTCGTTCTCAGCAGGCAGTTCCGGCGCTGGCAGCTCGATCAGTGCGACGCCAGCGTCCTCCTCGGCGACTGGCGTGGCTCTAGTGGTTCGGCGGCGTCGTTTCTCTGGCAGCTCGGTCGGTGGGACGCCAGCGCCCTCCTCGGCGACTGGCTTGGCTCTAGTGGTTCGGCGGCGTCGTTTCTCTGGCAGCTCGGTCAGTGGGACGCCAGCGTCCTCCTCGGCGACTGGCTTGGCTCTAGTGGTTCGGCCGCGTCGTTTCTCTGGCAGCTCTTTCTCAACAAGCACCTCTGGCTCGGACCCTGACCTCAGCCTTGTCTGACTGGCGGCATCCTCCTCAGCCTCAGGCTTGGACTTCTCCGCTCTGCCAGGCCGCTTCTCCGTCTCCTCCTCGATTGGCAGTGCCGGTGTCGGCATCTCGGGCGAGGTAATGTTAGCATCATCGTCAGCGATCGGTTTGGGCTTCTTGGCTCGGTTACGTCGCTTCAATGGCACGTCCGGCTCAGGAGGCACTGACAGTGCTGGCTGTCCCGACGAAGGAGCTTCATTTTCAACCGGTTTGTTCTTCTTGGGTTGGCCCCGCCGCTTCTTTGGTACCTGCTCCTCCGGAATCTCCGCCGGCTCTGGCATCTCAGACGAGGGACAGGCAGCGTTCTCTTCGTTGGCCTGCTTGGCCCGACTACGCCGCTTCTGCAGCACCTCCTTCTCTGGAGGCACCGCCAGTGCCGCATGCACGTCCGCAGCATCCGTCTTGAGGTCTGCCGCGGACGTGGCCGGCTCCGACAGACCCTCAGCCGGAGTGCAGACCTCAGTGTTATCAGCCGGCGCGAGGACTTCGAGCTGCCCCTCCCGCATAACCTGGGTCTCAGACGGCGTGGCCGCCGCGATCCCGGCCACCGAGTCCCGCTTCGCGCCGCTCTGAGCCGGCGTGACCTCAAACGTGCCTCTGCGTGCGTCTCGGTTAGTTTCCACGTTTCCATCCACGCTTTTCACCTCTGATGCGGCGCGCATCTCGGCCAGCTCAAACGGCTCGACGTTCTCCTTGTGCGCCGACTCCTCCTCGAATGCGTCGGCCGGCTCTCCGGCGGCGGACGTCTGCGCGGCCGGGGACGGGGCCGCCGGCCGCTCGGCGCTGAACGTCAGGTCCAGTCGGCCGGCCGCCGCGACCGCCGGCGCCGCCGCCTGGCGCTCCGGCGCCGCGTCGTCCGCCGGGAAGCGCACGTTCAGTCGGTCCTCGATGTACTGGCCGAGCGCCTGCTCAACCGTCACGGCGGCGGGGATGAGCGAGCGGCGGCGCGGCGTGCCGCCGTTGGAGCCGGCTGTCGGCTCCGGCGACTCGTCCACGCTGCGGCGCACTGGCGCCACCTCGCTTAGCACGTAGCTCAGATTACCGCTACCCGACAGTCGCTTGTTGGCCACCACCAGCTGTGAGAGCAGCCGATGGACGGGCTTGTCGGCCGGTGAGCCGGCGTGGGCCGGCTCGGCGGCCGGCGCGGGCGGCGCGGCCGGCGCGGCCGGCGAGCGGCCTTTCCTGCAGCTGGGGGTGCGCGCCAGCTGCCGCCCGGTCGGGATGACGTTGGGCCGCTGCGGCACCGGGATCCGACTGCGGCCGGCCCGCGTCGGCGACGCGGAGCTGAACACGCCGTGCGCTGCCGGGGCGCGAGGCAGCGGCTTGGCAAATCTGCCGAGGGAACGGACGGGCGTCAGGGGCCGACTCACGGCCCCTGTTACACGACTTCAGAGGCGGCAACGTGGCCAAACACGCCCCTGGACACCGAGAACAATCCTTCAACACGCATCATGAACTGTACACGGCACACATGGCAACTGAAACATGCAATGCTAACGAACTTAACAATGCTCTCATCAGTCGATGAAACCTTGAAGTGAACATGTAGGATGCAGCCTACGTGGGCGGCGGGAGACAACTGACGATGTCGCGGACCGCGCGGGGCCGGCCGGCACTGTCACATTAGCAGTCATATATCAAACATAGGCCCAAGACGCACCAAAATATACACCACGGTACTCCAATAAACACAAGAACACGCCTGTTTCGATTTCGTGTTTACGCTACAAATTAATGTGACATATGCGTGTCAGGTACTTCTTGCTTAGTGTGGGCCATGGTTGTGCGGCTTGTACGCGGAAAGCTTCGTGGATTCATTCCTTTTAGCATGAAAACCGGAGCACAAATCTTATCAGGGTTGAATTCCCTGACTCAGTGTTTAAGTTTCAACGCTGGCTGTCACCTCAGCTGTCATTGGTAGGTCTTTAATCACAAAAGATGCAAATCAAAACACTGTAAACTGCCTGCCAGCTTGCAAAGGCTCACTGTCCATGGAGAATGGCCATTAACCAAACCAAACAACTGACATTATTATTTTGACATATTTTTTGTTATTTATTATTATTATATATATATATATATATATATATATATATATATATATATATATATATATTATTTTTGTTGTCGTCATTATTTTTACATAAGGTATCGTTGCGAGCCACGCACATCATTTTCCAAGTCCGCACAGCCGGGCGTGCGACGAGCAATCCCGATCCTCTGGCGCCGCACGCGCAGCCACGCGGGCGGCCCCCGATTCAGCAGACGCCCGGTGCCGGTCCGTGGCAGGCTCAGGTCTGGACCGCGCAGGCGGCCACCTTACCCGACGGCCTCCTGGGAGGCGTGCGACAGGGTCGAGCAGACGGAGGCGTCGGCGAGGTCCGCGCCGTGCGCCGCCTCGCCGCCCCGCTGCCAGCGGTCTCGCTCCGCGTCACGCCTCGCCGCCAGGATCTGCTGCTGCTTCAGCACCTGCCGCCGCACACGCACCGCCGTCACCGCCGAGAGTCACGGCCGCGGCGCGTCACGCCACCCGTCACACGTCACAGGGCCGACAGACGACCGCGACAGCTGCCGCCGGGTCGGACGGCTCACCTTGCGCAGGCGCTGGTACAGGCCGTGGCTGCCGTGCCTCTGCTCCAGCTGGCCGACGAAGGCGGACCAGATCCGCGGCAGCCGGCGCCGGTCCGTCACGTCGGCCGCGGTCGGACACAGGTGACCGATACCGACCAGGTTCAGACGCCTGCCGGCAAACACATCAAACACATTGTCAAACACATCACACCTGTCATATTTGAAGCTTGCACCCTTTTACTTGCTAGTTGCCAATTAGGTGCCCTTTCTGCTTTTTACTGAATGCATGGAAATGGAGCAATAGTGTATAAACAGCAGGCACTTGCACAATATTTGACAAAAACCCAAGCAGTTGAAATCCCCCAAATCAGTTAACTGTGGAAGACACTGTGTCTGTCACAACACACCTATATGGGACAATTTTTGACAACACTTCAGCTGTTGAGACCATTTCACACCGGGGAGAAGTGTGAACAATGCAAATGCACCCATGCAATTACTGATCACATAACTGCCACAGGACAAAACTTTGGATGCAGTGAAGTACTAAACACATGGTGCCTTGGTTGACATGCCTAGTCTCGCTACCATCAGGCTTGTTATCAAATTCCATATTTGGTTTGATCAAATCTAGGTGTTGCAGGAAATATGCACCCAGAATAATGCCTATCATCCATAACATTTTAAGCTCAACACAGGAAACTTCATTATTTCCTTGATGCTTCTATAGTAAAAACACAATGCGCCCCAATTCAAACTTTTCAGACCGAGTCAAGCTCCATCTGCAAATTTAAAGCATTATGGAAATACTCAACTACCTACCAACCAACCCGAAGTCCACAATACTCTGGACAACCCAAACAAATCAAGCACATCGACGCTAATCTTATTCTGATAGATAAACAAACCTTTGGATTTGCTTGCATGAAATACCCGTTGCTTCAAAATCCCATGCTTCATCATACAGAAGGCACAGACGTGAGTATACTTTCATAACAAGATCTTCGTCATTCGATAGAGGAAAGCCGACTTTGATACCAACGATATCTGTCAACTTTGAGCCCAACTCTTCGAGCACCGCCATCTTCACACAAAGACGACAGTTTACTGCAGCGCAGCACAATGTTTAAAATACCACGACAACGTGCAACACCCTATACCTCGGAACACCTGAACCAGAGGACACAGCCCGATCGCCACCGCCGGCCCGCCTGGCGTTCACGTTTAAAACAACTCTGCGAGTTCAAACCTCGCGGTCAACGAATGCGGCGCATTCAAGGCCCAAAAATATTGATGGTAATTTATTATATACTAAAAAAGTCTTTTTGGTACTAAATTACTTGTGCTTTCGTATTATATATGTGCTTCCTTATACTGCTTTTACGCAATCTGAAATTACGTCCATTTCACCTTCAGTTCTGGCTATTTAATAGCTTTTTTGTGTCAAGATGCTGAATTGTAGTAGTCACAGTGTGGAAAGGAATGTAGAAAGGAAGCCCACTGTGGAAAGGAGGCTACTTAGTGAAGTCTCTGAGCGGCTTTGTTCCGCGCTTTGCTCTGGGTTGTATGCCTCCAGTTTGTTCTCTGTTACATGATTCTGCGTTTGCTGTGTGGCATTGAAGCGTGTTGTCTGCAAACAAGAATATGGCATTAAATGCATTTCTAGGACAGGCTAAAAACATTTATACAAATCTTCAAGGAATTTTGGCCCCAGATTTGTTATACAGACAGAATGCTACAGGTTCAAGGTTTTCTTGGTGTAGCTCATTTGGTTCTAAAACCATTGACCTATACAAGTCTGTTGCAGGTCAATGTGTAAAACATGTGGTCCACCCAACTGCATTCAAAGATTATGCGTGCTCCAGCTTGTGCCCCGTCAAAGTGTTATGCAAACAATGCACAGGTCGAACTGCAAGTGAGAAAATGGTTGCGCAGCGCGGCGTGCCGTGCTCCTGGGAGCCGGAAGAAGCCACAGGGGCAAGCAGAGCGCTGATGCGGCGTCACCCCACTTTCTTCTCCGTGGATGTGCAAGATAGCCTTTTGTACGTGGTGGAGGCATATGTATGTATGGCTTAAGTGTTGGAATACAAAATATGGCTAATTTGCTATCTTTGGAGCAATGTTAGCGTGTTCGAGTCGCCAACCTTGAAAGCGACATTGTGAGACCACCCTGAACACCTCTTCTGTCTCAGAGACATTGGTTGAAATTGTAGCGTGGAAACAGGTTTGCTGTAATGGAGGACGAGGAACATCGGCTGGACAGCGGGCGAACATCGACTGGAAAGTAAGGCGCGTCAGCTGGAGGGCTAATGAACGTCGGCTGAAAAGCGGGCGAACGTTGGCTGGAGAGCGGGGTTACGTCGGCTGGAGAACTGGTGAACTTAAGCTGGAGAGCGAGTGAGCTTCAGCTGGAGAGCGAGTGAATTTCAGTTGGAGAGCGAGTGAACTTCGGCTGGAGAGCGGGGTACGTCGAATGGAGAGCGAGGGTACGTCGGCTGGAGAGCTGATGCCCTTCAGCTAGAAAGCGAGTGAACGTCGGCTAGACAGCGGGCGAACGTCGGGTTGGCAGTGGGCCAACGTCAGCTTGACCTGCAATGTCGGCTGGACGTCGTCTGGATGTCAGATTCGTGAACATCGGCCAGGCCAGGGTCGACATGTTTGTTGGGTATCCTGCAGCCATGCCTCATATGGCGCCAGCAAGGGAATTTGCATCACATACATGAAGGATCCTTAGGTACTGAGGATGATGAACATCTTCGTATCCATGTGAAGTTTAGTTCAAATTTATTCCGATTTCAATACTATCTCTCTTTGTTTTTTTAAAATCTGTTCAATGATTTTGATCCCCATGTTCCTTCTTTGCCAAGGCCCTTCCCCAAGGCTTTGGATGAGCGACTGCTCCGATGATGGAAAATTATACACCCTTGCTCTATATAGTGAGTGAAATAGTACAATGTAAGCACAAATACGAAGTGGGAACCCGGGTGTGCCGCCCATTGTCACTTGTATAAAACATACTAGGCTCGACTTCGATAAATGCTTAACAATCTCATGCCAACCCCATTGAATGATAGAAGCATAACTTAAATTTCAATAAATCACTGATGAATCGTTAGAATACAGAATAACAAGGTTTTATGATGTCGTCCAGAAGTCTAAAAATACTACTTGACAGCGCACTTTATACAATTCTGATAGTCCGGAGACAAAATAAACCCGGCCCTGTACTGTCACGTTCAACACACAATGATCCGTACAATGTTCCGGTCAGCGGGACTGTGCAGATTGTAGGAGATTGAAATGATTATTAGTAAACATTTCACCAGTTGGTTGAACTTTTAACTATGGCGCTGGGTCCTGTTCCAATCGCTGAGCAAGTTCTGCCATTTGCATGCATACTCACATGCTATGATTGTAGGCAAACATTTTTGTGTTATAGTTGCATTACATTTGTACTTATCCCTGAATACAAATTTAAGGTGTGTGTCATTTCACTGTTTGCAGACATCATGAAGATGCATTCAAGAGCTTTCTGCCTGATGCGTTTGCCACAGACAAGTACTATATTGAGTCACCTTCATCAGGGTTCCTTTGCCAGGTCATCTGCTCATTACCTGAGTACATCAAATGACCAAGGTACTACACCATGCTTATGTATGACTATTTCTTGCATAGTGTCCCCTGTTTTGGTTGGCCAGGATTCTTTTTGGCTGTTCTCAGCTTGGTGACATTTTTCACCACAGAGTGTGGAAAATTTGTATCTGCCCCCTGGGCCTGCCAGCACAGGTGTGGCAGGGTAAACAAGCAGCCTTTTGCAGACATAAATATGCTCAACTGAAAAACACCACACCATCACACTAAGTGATGTGCTAATACATGCTCTGCATATTAGCTTTATTTTTGGGGTCAGGCTGGTATACTGTGTTAGCTGGGAATCAAACATCCATTATGCTTTGTTACAATATGTTGAAGCATTTTTCAGAGCTCAGCTTATTAGGCCTGAAATTGGTGCTTGCTGGCCAAATTGGTAGAAACCACACAATATCTGATTTTGTCTTGTTTGGAATAGTTTATTTCAGGGCTTATGCTCCACTAAAGGTGCAGTGGATAGTAGAACAACCTAGTTAAGCTTGAATTATTCTCAGATTTGCTATCTACTCAGATGGTTGTAGTTAACTCCTTTTTTGTCATTGCATGTCTGACTGTATCATATTTACAATTTGTTATTTTTAAAGGCAACCTTTAAATGCATCATCAGCAACAAGTTTAACTTCATCAAATGTTACACAGGAAGTGTTTTGTGATGCTCTCACTCACTGGCTATAATGAGCATGGCAGCTTGGGCTTCTCTGTTACATTGTGCTAATGGCCTGCTTGTATTTATTGGCTCTGTTTGTCCATGTCTCCTGAAAACACACATGCTCTTCACACATGCACCATTTCCCAGATGTTGGTAGGGCATACAACCCATCATATGTGGAGAGCAAGTGGCAGGACCGGTGGGATACACACAGCCCTGGTAACAGTCCATCAGGGAAGTCCGGGCGCTTTTCAATGGTACTGCCGCCACCCAACATCACCGGTCAGCTCCACCTGGGCCATGCACTGACGCTGGCAGTGCAGGATGCCCTCTGCCGCTGGTGAGCTGGTGGGGCAGCCATGGACTGGTGTGTGGGATTTGTCCAGACCACAGGATGAATTTGCTCATGTACCCATGTGCTGCTTTCATTTTTTAAATTATTGTAGAGCTTGGACGTCACACGTTGGGCTTTCCCCGCCAGCTGTAGCCGAGGTGGCACTTACGTCTAGCCAATTGTCTGTAAGCTTTGGTTAACCCTGGAAATGGTTATGTTGTTCATCCATCCGGGCGTGCAATCTGTGTGCCACCAGTCCGCTTGACGCTGACGACGCTTCGGCAGGCGGCGTATGCGCGGAGACGAGGTGGTCTGGGTGCCCGGCACCGACCACGCCGGCATCGCCACTCAGGTGATCGTGGAGAAGGCGCTGTGGGCCGAGCAGCGCAGAACGCGCCTCCACCTTGGACGCCGCGAGTGAGCTGGGTAGCTGCCGGCCAGATGCAGCCTGCTGTGCCTGAGCGATGGTGGTGTGCGCCGGTGCTCTGCACATATAGTCTGGCTTTGTTTACACACTAATTGAGGATGTACAAGCATTAAAGTCTGTACATGTGATTTGTGCATAGTTAATTTCTTTACAACTTGTGCTCCTCAAAAGCTTCCATCAAATAAACATTGCTTCCCAGCTTGGGATCTTAACCTCAACCTAATCTAACCTTTATATTTTATGATGTATTCTTTGCTATTAGTGTGAGGGCTTTGGAGGTCCCTCCTTTAAACCATGTAAATATTTGCTCGCCTCACATTCTTTGACCAGCTCTGCATATAAGTAATTATTGTTGCCACATGGGGCATGTTTGACAGGTTTCTAAAGCGAATCTGGAAATGGAGATCAGACCGATCAGACCAGATCTACCGCCAGATGAAGGCCTTGGGCGTCACCCTGGACTGGGACAAGGCTGTCTTCACTATGGATCCAGTGAGTGCAAACAGCAAAGTGCAAATGGGGACACCCTTGATTGGCTTCATATACAGGGTGTTTCAGTTGACATGTTAAGTTTAGAAGTATTGTGCTATGTACAAAACAAATTAATGAAAGTATATTTTTATATTACAGATGCTTGCGCCTTTTAATGTTTTGGTTTGTATGGTCATTGTTCATCTGCTTCGCGAAATGTCTTCATCACAATCTCCTGAATATCAATACTTCTCAAAATTCCAGAGTGACCTGCTCCTGCCAGCATCTTGCATATGGCGTGTTCAGCCGCTGAGTGTTGGGACAGAGGCCTGCATCTCTGGTTTACAGAGGACAATGATTGTGTGGTAGACACCAAACCAAATGCCTGGGAATTTTTCAAAATGCCAGATAGTGCTTGGTTAGCCTGCCAGTGTTGCACTATCTGGTGTCATTGGTGTGGTGTACAAATTCATCCGAGCTCGCTTTTCTTGTACACAAGTGCAGACAGTAATATCCTGTAACCAGTAATGAACTGGCCTGTGCCAGCCACCAGTACCTTTCATGGACTCATTGTTGAATTTTCTCTCGGCAGCAGCATCCTCTAAAGTGTGCAGTTTGATCTGCAATTTGCACTTTGGCGAATGCATTATTACTGTGAGACATTATAATCCACCTGTTCAGTGATTGCATGCCTTATCATTTCAGGACATGTCCGAGGCCGTGACTGAGGCATTCATACGCTTATTTGATGCGGGTCTGGTGTACAGAGCTCAGACGCTGGTCAACTGGTCCTGCTACCTACAGTCAGCCGTGTCAGATATCGAGGTCGAACACCAGCCGGTAGATGGCACAATGGTCGACTTCGCGTATTGCTGGGATGAAGGTGAGTGATGTAACGGTTTTGAGGGTTTGCTGTCTGTCATTTTTAGTGCATAAATGAGATGCCATGTGTTCAGCGCATGGTCATCTGATGAAACAATGAGTAAATTGCTAAGTAGACAAGTACCTGCATGCATGAAGAGCAAGGTTTGCATTAGTGTCAGCTCATTCTGTGACATTATGCACCTTTTGAGCCAAGTGGTGGCTGTCACCCACGTGCAGATTACTGTCGTTGTGCTTTTATTCCCTCGTGCCTGGACGTTGGTCCCAGACCTCATTTCCTTTAGTGCACAAAACCCCCTAATGCACCAAGGCATATGCTGTCTTTTGGAACAATGGGGCACATGACTAGATTAGTATGGATGACAGTGGTACTGCGCATGCAGTCTTCAGTTGCAGCATGCCACACCTTATCCTCCCGCACTCTCCCTCGCCTTTTGCCGTCCTGCTGTCGTGCGCTGTCTCCGAGCGCTCTTCCCTCATGCGGTGCACCGCGCCGGCGGTCGCTCAGCCCCCCTCCCCCCTTCCTGCGCCCGCAGATCCGTCCGAGGAGATCGTGGTATCGACGACGCGGCCGGAGACGATGCTGGGCGACGCGGCGGTGGCAGTGAGCCCCTGTGACGACCGCTGGCGGCACTGGGTGGGCCGCCGCGTGACGCATCCCCTGCGGCCCGGCCGGCCGGCCCTACCCGTGGTGGCCGACGGCGTGGTCGATCCGCACTTCGGCACTGGTGAGAGCTGCCCCGCCTACCGCCCCCCCCCCCCCCTACCAGGAGTGGTGATGGGTCTATCGAGTGGCTCTGGGTGCTGAAGGCCGCTCGGGGGAGGGGGCGGGGGGGGGGGGGGGTGGGAGAGGGGTCAGCGACTCACGGTACACGGAAGGGCTGCGGGGCTTTTCACTACTCGCGTTTGATGCAAAACACCACGGTGATTAGATATATGATAGATTAGTGATAAGTAGTGATAATGGTAGCTGCCTTGTGTCAAGGAAAATGGCCTATTATGGGTGGCTGTTTTCCTGGGCTCGGTGGAACTGTCATGATTTTGCAGGCCTACGGGCGTCAATACGGGCCGCAATTTGGTATTGTATTTGGGAACACCTGGCTCGTGTCTAGAATCAGTCTCTGAACAGCAACTTAGTATTGGCTCCGATCTCAACGCTGCTGATATATACGCTGGACGAACCTATTTTTTCAAGAAGGCAGCATGTAAAGGAGCACATTCGGCTTGTCGGAAAGGTGTTCAATAGTAAAAAGATAGTACTGCAGGAGCTCGCTGCCGCGGCATGCTGCCAATATGACGCCGGCGCGCTACATCTGGCCTGCCGTGACGAAGTAAACGTTTGGTGTACTCTACATGGAAATAACTTTCCTGCCCAGGAGCTGTGAAAATAACGCCGGCTCATGACTTCAATGATTTTGACGTGGGGAAGCGGCACAACTTGGAAATGTTGACAATTCTGTCCGAGGATGGAAGGATCAACGAAAACGGAGGTCAATTTCAGGTACAAGTTTTCGTTATGGTTTATTCAACTAGAAATAATCCCTCTGAATATTGGCAGTCTTGTAATGCTTGTTGCGGTGCAGTGTAGAGTAGTCGCTGAATGATGGGGCCCATTTATGGATGGTTTTGTTTTACTTGGTTCCCCATACCTTCATACGAAGGAAGGGGTATTAGTAGTAGTGTGTGTGTGTGTGTGTGTGTGTGTGTGTGTGTGTGTGTGTGTGTGTGTGTGTGTGTGTGTGTGTGTGTGTGTGTGTGTGTGTGTGTGTGTGTGTTTGTGTGTGTGTGTGTGGTGTGTGTGTGTGTGTGTGTGTGTGTGTTGTGCGTGCGTGCGTGCGTGCCGTGCGTGCGTGCGTGCGTGCGTGTGGGTGTGGGCGCGCGCGCGCGCGCGCGTGCGTGCGTGCGTGCGTGCGTGCGTGCGTGCGTGCGTGCGCGTGCGTGCCTGCGTGCGTGCGTGCGTGCGTGCGTGCGTCTCATTGGGTGCAATACTTGAACGTTTCAAGTACCTTTCAGACATATTTGAAATGTTCCGGCCGTGTGCCTCACGCCTCAAATACCTTTCAGACATATTTGAAATGCTCCGGCTACATGCCTCACGTGTTCTTGCGCGAAGACACGCGCTGTTTGAAACGAGTGCCAGCACCGTCTTTCATGTATCTTTCGTACACCAGTCATGCGGCATCCATCGTGCTATGTGTTTCGTCGCGTGCTGGAGCCAGCAGCGGTGTCTGACGTCACGCTCCGGGCCCTCCCGCAGGGCCTTAGCCGTGTCGAGGCCCGGCTGGCCGTGGTCGAGGCCCTCAAGGAGCTCGGCCTATTCCGCGGCGAGCGGCCGCATCAGGTGGCCGTGCCCGTCTGCTCCCGCACCGGTGACGTCATCGAGCCCATGGTGAAACACCAGTGGTGAGCACCGGCGGGGAAAATAACGGAACCTTGAAAATTGTCATGATAGAATTGTTTCTGAACCAGGTAAACTGGAACAGCAGGATTTGTTCCTGAACCGGGTGAAATGACAGCAGAATACACAGGGTAGCCACGCATTGCAGGAAAATGTGGCATGCAGCCCACGCGACATTTACTAAGCCGGTGATCGCGAGATGTCAAACGCCCGACACAGTCCGCTCTCACCGTCACTTCACCTGGGCTGCAGGTTCGTCCGCTGCGACCAGATGGCAGCAGCGGCGCTGGAGGCTGTGGAGGCCGGGGAGCTGGTGATCGATCCTCCGGCGCTGGCGGCCACCTGGCGAAAGTGGCTGGGCGGCTGCAGGTGCGCCAGCGCCGCCTGACGCCGACACGCTCAGGGCGGGGGGAGGGGGAGGGGTCGGTGTCCGTGTGTGACGATGCGTTGGGTGGGGAGCTCGCCAGGTTCGGCGTATGAAGTGAAGATGGCGTACAATTACACTGAGGCATGTGTTAATGCCTGGGATGCGTCAAGGGGATAACATGGCACGACAGCTGATCACATTAAGGGAAAAATACAGTAACATCGCGTAGGATTTGGGCCGAAGATGGCATTGGTTGACGTTTCGAGCTGTATGCCATGATATCTACGATTAATGACCATTCGTGTTTCAATCGTTTGCGCGGTCGTCGTTGGGAATGTCTTCGGGAGGTTTTCGGCGTGCGAAGCCCCAGCGAGGCCGTGTGGACATGCCGCAGGGACTGGTGCGTGTCGCGCCAGCTGTGGTGGGGCCACCAGATCCCGGCGTACTGCGTCAGGTGCCTGGACGGCACGGAGCGCTGGGTGGCGGCCGCCTCCGACCAGGACGCCCTCAGCAAGCTGGGTACGCTCCCCGGACACCGGACGAGGGCCAGACTCAGCTGGTCGGCCCCGGTGTGCGCCGCTTTGTTGGAGTGCGATCAGTATGTTACTACGCAGTTGGTTGGGATGTGCAGCTGCTTATGAATGGAGCAGGACTTACAGCGTTTCAGGTTGCGAACGGTGAGCAAACGTCCAGAGCGCAGGTAGTACGTCTGCTCCGTCCAGGTAGAAGTGCTCAACAGAGTTCTTTGCGAAATGTCGATGCCGTGCAATCTTTAGACCGAGGCTTCGCTTGCTCCTATCTATGGGGCAACTCATCAGTGCTGACCGGGAGCTGACCGCAGCTGGCGTGACGCGGCCAGCGCTTGCTGCCGACGTTCGGCGTGTGTCACGTGCCGATGGTGAGGCTGATCCACCGCTGTGAATGTGTGCAGAACAGCCTGCTTTCTCTCCTAGGCCTGACGCCCGCTGATGTGACGGCCGTCCGGCGAGACCAAGACGTCATGGACACATGGTTTTCGTCCGCCCTCTTCCCGTTTACGGTGTTTGGCTGGCCTAAACAGGTACGCGCTTTTGTACGCAAGACAGCCATGGTCCCTCATCATATATTTTACCCTGAGTTGCGATATATGCCATTTGGCAGCTTAGCTCGGTTACATGCGATGCCAGCGATATCTGACTGAATGACATTGCAGCTGCCCTTGACACATAAGTGAGAGAGTGCTGTGTAGCGTCGGCATTGCGGGTACCCTGCTCGTTCTGTGTGCTCCGCAATGTACTTAGTGCGAGGTATACGACTTGATGACTATGTCAACCTCAACGCTATAACGTATTGCTGACGCCGATCAGATGACTTCCCTTTCACGTAGTAACCAATGCGACGCGTGCCACGCTATAAAGCCTTTTGTGTTTTGTGCTTGTATGACGACTGCACAGCGACCTCTATGCGGGGTATGTACTCGGCGCTTAGAGAGGGGGGGGGGGGTGATCACCATAGAGGGCTTCGGCCCACTTTTGACTGGCGCTCGTAGTTTGCCCCGGAGAGGAGGATGCGTCGTGAGGATTCAGGATAACGCGAGCAAGAAGAGGGCGGATGGGGTCCGTTTTTGTCACAGTCCCGCCAGGGTAAACCTACGCTGCCATCTCGAGCCACAAATGGTGACGTGGTCAGGGCAGGAAGCGTGCCGTGTATGGATTGCCGGTACAGCCCGCGCCAGTGGCTGTTGCGGTAGTGAATGGCCCAAGGACCGCTGTACATGGGGTGACAGGATCTCTCCGCGCCGTCTGCAGACGGCCTGGCTGGCCCGCTGAAGGGCGTCCCAGGGCTGAGCCGGTATACAGCAAGCAGGGGGAGGGGCAGGATCTCTCCACGCCGTCTGCAGACGGCCTGGCTGACCTGCTGAGGCACCGTGACCTGCTCAGCCCTAGGGCTGAACCGGTCTGGTCCAGAACAGGGTCACCTTGGGCTCCGCTGCCCGCAGACTCCTGAGCTGGCCCAGCAGTACCCGTTGTCGCTGATGGAGACCGGCCACGACATCCTCTTCTTCTGGGTGGCCAGGATGGTTATGCTCGGCCAGGCACTTACTGGACAGCTGCCGTTCAAGGTAGCATTCTGCGGACTCGCCTGTCGTTACTACCTGCCTCTGACGTTGATGCCAAATGTTTTGGAGCTGGCTATTGTGGTTTCCAGGGACATGACAGCTATCATGTCTCATGCGTGGCCGACTAGCTCGCCTGGTATTCAATCCATCGTATCATCCAGCCAAATGACGTCACTGGGACGACGGCTATTGGATCGGTAATCATGTGCAGTGTCTTGCACCTTGCCTTCCGCAGCGGCTTCGAGCTTTTTTGCCATGTCAGCCTTTGTACTGTTTGTGTCACCAGTCCGTCATAAGTTGTGTTTAGAACTGTCTAGTGTGACGGGTGCCTACCTCACCTTCGGCAGAAAGTACTGCTGCACGGTCTCATATGCGACGCCCACGGTCGGAAGATGTCCAAGTCGCTTGGAAACGTGATCGACCCGGACACCATTATAGAGGGCGCCACGCTCGACCAGCTGCACCAGCAGGTATGTCGTTAGGACTCAGTCATTATAACAATAGCCAGGTTCTGGCGCTCGGGCCAAACCCGCACGTGGGACTATACCAGCAGGTATGTCGTTAGCACTCGTTAGGAATAGGACATTATAACAATAGCCAGGTTCTGGCGCTCGGGCCAAACCCGCCCGTAAGACGTACTGTCGATGCAAAACATAACAACGGAACGGAGGTAAGTGGTTTGGATTACAATTTCTCACAGAGACCATTCAGCGATGGGACGTTCCCACTGTGCAGGACGGCGACACTGGCTCCTCGGCAAAGCATCAGCGGACGCGCGTCGACGGTCGCCCGGGCGGCGGGTGAAATGCGACGCGCTCAGGCGCGGGATCAACCCCTTCTGATCGATCGGTTGCCGGATCACCTCCCCCCTAAAAATTAATAGAACCAGAGGCATCCAAGTCGCACGGTAGGTAGACCTGTATGGAAATGCACTTGTGTCAAATTTTGAGGTCCCTAGGTCATGGCCTTCAAGTGGGGGTCAGACTAGGTGAAACTTCAGTTCGGGGCCCGAAGTGCCCTGAGACCTCCTCAAGCAACCATCTTCAACTTGAATGCATGTTATAAGCAAAAGTTCAGTGGTGTCCATTGTATGTCAGTGGGTTTATTGACCTTCAGAAGTCACAGAACCCAACAACTTATAAGGTTGTTTTGATTTTTTAATTTAAATTATCGTTAAGTACGACGCCAGGCGCTGTATTCCTAAACTCAAAACGTTGATCAGGGTAATTTTAGGTCAGTCCCCTTCTCTGACCTTCATGAAGCCCAAATCACATATCTGTGGACGTCTCTGTGATCAAAAACCTGAAAGGAGCGTAAAAAACTACACTGTAAATCAAGTTAACCAGCAAAAAACAGTTTCATTTTGACGTCGGTATGACCTTCATACCTGACCCAAGGCTAATAGAAGTAGGCATAATCCTAAAATCATTTGTCTGATTGTCTTAGAAATTTTCAGGGATGGGTGGCTTTGTCTAACACTACTTTTCGCAAATCATCGAACGACTCACGAGGAATCGCATTCACTGACAGCCGTTGCCTGACTGGCTTGCCATAGGTCAGCGGCCTTACAAGGTGCATCGAATTTGGCGTACCAGAAGATTGGTAAAACATACGAAGGGGTCAAATTGACTTCCCCCACCCGGGCACGTGGTACCCCTATTCACTGACAGGTACGTGCCTCAACTGTAACATACGCTCATACATCCTGTCTACTTCCATGCAACCTGTTAACAGCCTGTGAACCTGTGGTCAGGTGGATGCCTCGGCAGCCCAGGGCTACATCTCCCAGGAGGAGGCCGAAAAGGCCAAGCAGAGCCAGAGGTCACTGTACCCCGAGGGCATACCGGCCTGCGGCGCCGACGCCCTCCGCTTCTCCCTCTGCACGACCGATCTCCGTAGTAAGTGGTGTGCATGAAAGAGTAGCGTCGTACGCTGGCAGGCTGGTCAGCCACGATTCAAACCGTGAGACGTACGCGGCCGTGCTCTAGATCGAGCGGCCCTGGTCCGACTCTTGCTGCAGCAGAGTGCCGCCGGCCGCCGGCCCCCATCAGGGTGTGACGATGACGGCGATATTCGCGGCTGCTTCTGTCGATAAGTAGCCGAGAGTGAGCACACGGTGACCTCACGTCAGTCGTCAGCCATCACCGCGCCTGGTCCCACGGCTCTCACGCCTACCGCCGCAGACACGTTCCTCAACTTGGACGTGCGCGAGGCGCGCCAGGCGCGGCTGTTCGGCAACAAGCTGTGGCAGGCGACCCGCTTCGCGCTGCGACACCTGGCCGACACTGGCTACCGCTGCGACGAGCAGGCCAGGTGAGAGGAGGGGCGCCCAGCTGGCCGACACCGGCTACCGCTGCGACGAGCAGACCAGGTGAGAGGAGGGGCGCCCAGGTAAGAGGAGGGGCGCCCAGCTGGCCGACGCCGGCTACCGCTGCGACGAGCAGACCAGGTGAGAGCGGCCGCCCGTTCCAGGCACGGCGCGAGCCGAGGGACGCCCGACTCGCCGGCGCGGGCGGGCGGCGCACGCGGCCAGCCGGGAGAGACTCGGCGCGAGGTCGGCCCGCGCCGCCGCTAGAGGGCAGCACAGTATCGTCTCCGATTGCCAGCTCCGCCGCCATGTTAATCCCGGTGGCCAGCTCCTCCGCTGTACTGGTGGTCCCCTGCACTGAGACGCAGCATCCTGTGAACACTGCTTATGTACCGACGTCATGCTGGGCAGGTGGTCCCTGTTGTGAGGGAACTCTGAGTGATGCGCGCCCTTCATCTGCAGGTGGTCTCTGCTGTGTGGGGACTCTGTGATGCCTGCCCTTCATCTGCAGGTGGTCCTGTTGTGAGGGACTCTGGTGATGCCTGCCCTTCATCTTCAGGTGGTCCCTGTTGTAGACTCTGTGTGATGCCTGTCCTTCATCTGCAGGTGGCCCCTGTTGTGTAGGGACTCTGTGTGATGCCTGCCCTTCATCTGCAGGTGGTCTCTGTTGTGTGGGGACTTTGTGTGATGCCTGCCCTTCATCTTCAGGTGGTCTCTGTTGTGTGGGGACTCTGTGTGATGCCTGCCCTTCATCTGCAGGTGGTCTCTGTTGTGTAGGGACTCTGTGTGATGCCTGTCCTTCATCTGCAGGTGATCCCTGTTGTGTAGAGACTCTGTGTGGTGCCTGCCCTTCATCTGCAGGTGGTCTCTGTTGTGTAGGGACTGAGTGATGCCTGCCCTCCATCTGCAGGTGGCCCCTGTTGTGTGGGGACTCTGTGTTATGCCTGCCCTCCATCTACAGGTGGTCTCTGTTGTGTAGGGACTCTGTGTTATGCCTGCCCTCCATCTACAGGTGGTCCCGGCTGCGGGACGCGCAGGCGCCGCTGAACCGCTGGATGCTCAGCTGTCTCAGCGCCTGCGTGGAGACGTGCAGCACCAGTATGGAGCAACACTGCCTGCACACGGCCACCAACGTCATGCACTACACCCTTTACAGACAGTTCTGCGACGTCTACCTGGTGGGAAGACACCGAACTTTTAGCTTGGATTGGTAGAAAGTGACCATCGATATGGGTGTGCCACAATCCCAGTTATGATTCTGTCGTTCATTTCTGCTCGACGAAGTGCTGCCCCTGGTAACCTTCCTTTCTAAGCTCCTGTATGCGAAAATTATATGGTTCCTTTTGTATTTCGCTGTGCGAGCCAAATGCTATAATACCTTGCAGTTTGTATCTATGCAATGCCTTCTCATCAAGTATCGGTTGCTTATAGAGTGGAGATGCATATTCCTTCAGTGATTAGCCCGCTTTGCCAAGTTATCTCGTGTCCGTGCATCACATTATTACCAATCGTGACCAACTAGTAGATCATTTTGCTGTTTTATTTTACCTGTTTGGAGCTTTCCTTGAGAGGACGTGAACTTCACGTCATCTAAATTAGCGCTGTCCTTGGGCCTTACACTGTCACCGTTTAGGCCTTTGATGGTCCAAAAGTAGACACATCCGGTAAGTCTCAGCCTCCAGCGCCGCGTGGCCATTGCCCACCGGTGCCCAGCTCCACGTTGGCGCGTGCCTTCGGTGCCCAGTAGGACTGAACGCTGTCTTGGGCCTGCCGCCAGGAGGCCGCGAAGCCGGTGCTGCTCGCCGCCGAGCCGGCCGCCAGCCGCGCCGTCTGTGACGTCATGCTGGCCGTGCTGGGCACCGGACTGCGGCTGCTGCACCCGTTCATGCCGCACCTGACCGAGGAGCTGAACCAGACGCTGGCGCCGCTCACCGATGAGCGGCGCTCCCTGCTACATCAGAGTTTCCCGGAGCCGGGCGAGGTGCGGGCCTCACTGGGATGGGACGGTGTTCTCGCGCGGTTTGGTCAAGCCGTGCCATGCGTGCAGAAATGTGTCACGGAGGGCCACAGATGCTCCGGTATTAAGTGGGACTTCTTTTCAGTGGGTGCAATGGAGGGATGAGAGCCTGGAAGCGTCTTTCGTGACCTGTTTGGATGCTGTCCGGGGTCTCAGAGCTGTCAAGAAGAAGTACCGGGTCACCAAAAGCTCACCGGAAGGTAAGCGTTGCGACACATCGACTGCGTCGCGGCCAGCAGCCGTCGGCTGGTGGATCGGAGAACTGCCGACGTCCTGGTGACGCGCCGACATCAGCCGTATTGTGAGCCGCGGCCAGCAGCCGTCGGCTGGTGGATCGGGGTCCCGCCGATGTTCTGGTGACGCGCCGACATCAGCCGTATTGTGAGCTGCGGCCCCCAGCAGCCGTCGGCTGGTGGATCGGGGTCCCGCCGATGTCCTGGTGACGCCGCGACATTAGCCGTATTGTGAGCTGCGGCTCCCAGCGGCTGTCGCTGACCTCTGCCTGCGCACGCGGCGCCGCCCCAGCGCGTCTTCGTGCTTGGCAGCTGTGTTTTTACAACTGGTGGCACGACGATATTGTAAAATGCTCTCTGTGTCAGCAGGCGTTGCGATAACTGCCTCATTATTCCCTTTTTCGGCGATGGGCTACTTCGTGGAGTTGGCGCAGCGGCCCTTTCTACCCTCGTGTCATGGATGAGGGCTTGAAACTTGAATTGTCATTGCTACGCCAGAAAACTCAGTTCGTAGGGTCTCAGGGCCCGCATGGTCAGGGTCAGGGGCCCAGTCCGGGGGTCCTCATGCGTAGGTGTTCGCAGCAGTAGGTCTTCCGGGCATAGGCCATCCGAGCGTAGATATTCCAAAAAAGGGTCTTCCGGTCGCAGGTGTTCCGGTAGTAGGTTTTCCGGTCGCAGGTGTTCCGGTAGTAGGTTTTCCGGTCGCAGGTGTTCCGGTAGTAGGTTTTCCGATCGTAGGAATTTGGGGGGTAGATCTCCTTGTCGTAGATATCCTGGGAGTAGTTCTCCCGAGCGTAGGCGTTCCCAGCAGCAGGCCCTGCTGTTGGGTGCCCGTACTGGTTTGCTCCGAGATGACCCGGCCCGGGTGTGGACCTGATCGCTACTGCTTGTCGCCGGCTGTGGACGGTGCCGTTCGAAGGGCCGCTAACAGGTGCCAGACGTCGGCCGAATGTACGCATAACAGCAACGGAAGGAGCTTACATCCGGCAATGGTACAGAGATGATCGGTCGTCAGGTGCGATGATGCGTGGTGTGGAGCCGGCCGGCGCTCTGTACTCTGTCGCCGGCATTGATGTGCTCCCGATGTCCGATAGATGGCAGAACAGACTGCAGTGCCGCCTCACTTCGCACAGCACAAGACCGGCATTGCTAGGTTTTATCTACCAGCTCCCTGCGGGTTCTGTTGAATACTTTAGATAGTCCTTTCTTATTCTTCATTGTAACTAGCGCGTTAAAACTGGACTGCCTCTTGGCCGTGAGACACTCACGAATGTTGCTGATGTTAATTTGGGCTTTTGGGCGCGCCGACTGCATAGTTCATATTGCGCCCATAACGTTGCACTCACGAATGGGGAGCCTGGAAGTACGAAGTCGCGTTTTGTTCCTGAACGGAACGCCTTTGTGGAAGTCTACCTCAGCGGTTATAAAATTGGACTCGTTTGATCATATCTTCAAATCGCTTATACTTGGATGACATCCAGGCGGAAGTACACGACCTGTTCCAGCGATCCACCCAGCAGCCGCGCTGCGCTCTCACTGTTGGTGGTCTGATTACATCCCTCGCATCGGTCGCGAGGAGTGGACAGCCTGAGATTATTAGCCAGACTCGCAACTGGTGCTGGTGCATATCGTCTTGCTCATCTCCTACCAAACTGATCAGCTGAAAAAACAGCGGAAATTTTGCTCTTTGGTTGACCAACGGGATTTGTCAGCACGACCGCCCCTGCGAGACACTTCGCCTATCTCTCCATGTGCAGTTGAAGCGAGACTGAATAAATCGTGTAATGCGGCCACGCTTCACTCGTTCAACCGTTTGGTTTTGTTAGTTTTTCTGACGGATTTTGCCTTTGGGCTTGTCTAAGATTCGCAAATCGTGTGGCGGTTTCTGTGATGCGACCCTTTCTGTTCACCGGCTTTACATATTTAATCATGTGATTTTCAGCGGTTCATTTCTTTTACCAGGTCTTTCATGTTTTTCATCTTTTTCAGTTGTCTTTGCGTCTTATTATTCTCCTTCATGTCCTCTCCTATCCCTTCAGGAGATAGATCGTCACTTTCCACGGCGCTTTCCTCAATGGATGTCTCCGGTGTTGCTGTGTACCGTTGTGGTCTCCATCCGGACTAGCCCACCACGGCCTTGCCAGGAGCTTGAAATGTCCGCCTTATTGCAAGATAAACATTTCCCCGCGACAGCCACGTTGGTGACGCAGGCTGCCCAGCGAAACTGTCAAAAGCACCGGCGAAAAAAAAAACGCAGCAAATAGTCCAGTTGGTGAGACCTTCCAGCAACGATCCCGCACTTTTGTAGAGCCATTTAGCACGCACCGCAAACATCCGCGTCGACCCGCCGCAGCCTCCGCCCAGTGAGAGACCGGGCGCTGACCTGGCCGTGGCTGCGCCGGCAGTGCACCTGAGCATGCGGCCCGAGCTGTCGGCCGAGCTGGCGACCGTGGTCTCCACGCTGTCCCGCTGCCGGGTCCGGCCGGCACCGGCCGCTGAGCACCGCGGCCTCCTGGTGCAGGGCCACAACTGGAGAGCGCACGTGGACTTGCAGGTGAAGTTGGCGCCGGCGCACGCCAGCCCACCAGCACAGGACGCTCGTGGTGCGCCTGCGTTCTAGTTTGTGCTACTGTGGTGAGAAGCGGGTGTAGCCCTTCGCCAGTCACCACACGGACTGCAGAAAGGTGGTCAACTGAACATTCTTACGGCCAGGGGATGCATTTATATCCTGCGAAAGTGATTTTGGATTGGATAATTTTCCCGACGTAGGTTTTATTGCATGGGGCCTCTAGGCCATCAACCTCTCTCTCTCTCTCTCTACTCCTCTCGCACTCTCTCTCTCTCTCTCTCTCTCTCCTCTCTCTCTCCTCTCCTCTCTCGTTCTCTCCACTTCCCTCTCCCTCCCTCCTCTCCTCCTCTCCTATCCTCTACTCTCTCTCCTTCCTCTAATCCCTCTCCTCTCCTCTCCTTCTCTCCCCCTCTCCTCTCTCTTCTCTTTCCTCTCCTTCCTCCTTCACGCTCTCCTCTCCTACCCCTCCCTCCTCTCCTCTCCTCCTATCTCTCCCTCCCTCCCCCTCTTTCCTCTCCTCTCCTCTTCCCTCTTCCTCCCTCTCTCCCTCTCCCCCTCTTCCTCTCCTCTCCTTCTCTCCTTTTTCTTTCCTATTCTCCCTCACCTCAGTCCTCCATCTTCTCTCTCCCTCCTCTCTCTCTCTCCTCTCCTCTCCTCCCTCTCCTCTCTTCTCCTCTCTCTGCCTCTCTCTCTCTCCTACGTCAAGGTCATGCATTCACGTGACATGTGGCATCGCTCTCTCGTTTCAGAGGTCACGTGGATGTAGCCGCCGAACTGGACCAGCTGAGGTCCAAGAGGGAGAAAACTGAGGCGAAACTTGCTGCTCTAGACGCCCTTATGCAAACGAACAAGTTCGGAAGGCGATCGACGAAAATGAAGGATCAGGGAAGAGCTCGGGTGAGTAACATGCATACGGCCAAATGTAATATACAACATCCTTCCGCGGCGGCTCAATGTGGCTTTCGACGATGAAGGCAGGATGCTACATTTACATTTATGTGCTCCGCGTATTATGGTTAGGGTCTCCCCGCACGGTCGCATTGCCGTATGGTAGACTTATACTATGTATACTATGTGCTATGTACCTGTGTTTCGATGTATATACTAAGTTATGTATGTACTATGCCCTATATACTATGTACTTATACTATATATGTTTTACTGGCTGACTGACATATGACTGACTGACATGCATGACTGATTGAGATACGTGACTGATTATAAATGACACACATGGCTGACTATGAACGACATATTTCGCTGATTGACTGACATTTGACTTAGCTGTACTATATAACTATGCTATATCATGACTGACTGATGAGTATAAGAGTATGGTAATGACCAGCCGTGCATTTCCAGAGAGTACTGCTTGCAGAAGAAGTGGAGAGATTGAAAGAATGTGAAGATGACATAAGTCGGCTGAGTTGACGGCCACCATCAAGTATTCGCTTTCGTCGAAACGCTTTTGGTTCGGTCCTGTAGCCGAAATGTGTGCAGTAGGTGCGATGTGAAACTGACGCATGTTTGAAATATAGGGACCTCAGTGGACACCAAAATGCTTTATACGAGAGCCATCGTAACCGCCAGGGCCATGGGCCTGAGGTGCCCCGACTGTTGTAAGTGAGCTACACGAGTGAGAAACGGAAGCAGCACACCAGAAGTACTCGGTATTTTGATGTCCCGAGTTTCGACGCGCGCGAGCCCAGGCACAATAGGCAGAATTCGAGAAAGTATAAATTCGTGGGAAGGAATTCAGCCAAATCCAGTTTCGTTTAAACATTCAAAATTATACGTTAAATCAGTAAGCTGTCCCTCCAAGTGTTTGGCTAACGGTACAAATTACACATAACTGCTCAATTTGGGTTCAGATATGCCGCCACGTAAGGAAGACGGTAAACTGAGCCCGCTGATCACTCCTGATCCCCACTACATTCCCGGGTAAGCCACATTTGTGGGGGAAAAAGCGTGATCGGTTCTTTTGTTACGTTACTTAAAAATGCATGGGCTCTTTGAAGTATTCACGAACGCACATCATATACCAATGATATCCAGCGGTCCATGGTAGTGTTTTGTGGGTCGTCAATGGTCCGATAATCTCCGCCATAGGTTAAACGATAGTTTCGTACATCGGAGCCTATGCCGCTGGGAAGTGCTCAGTCATATGTGGCTGGGTGGATAAGTGCGTCCATTTACAAAACTGCCGTTGCCATTGGAGCTGCGTTTGAACAAATGTCTAAACGAGAATGTGGCCTCTTCTGATGTCTGTTGTTCTTTTGCAGCTACCAGGGCCATGTCCCCGGTTTTTTGTTCGATTTTGGGGCCACATTCGGTCATATGTCCAACAAATTGCTCACCGATCCCTGCATACCGGGCTCAGGAAATCTGGTTAGGCCGCTGAACTTCAACGTGGGGCGGTCCGACGTGAGTATTCACATCGGCGAATAAGTGAAGCATGCTCACTCGGGCCGTTTCGGTAGCTTACGACGTACCCCTCCTCGTGCTCTTGGTAAATGTTTCCGCAGTGCCCTAAACCGCGTCGTGCACTTATGGGCCACAAGTTGACTTGTACACACAAATAAAAAAGTGTACACAAAGACGACATTTCGAAGTGTCATTTTGAGGCGTCCCAAAATCAAAGCATTACAATCTTGACGTTACCGATAGTGGCATACGGCATGACTCCGTCGGGCTGAGCTCCGTTGACGCTTGTCATCTGCGGATGTTCCACAGCCGTCGCTCGGCCCCCTGGTGCGCTCGTCAGGGTGCAACTTCCCGCGGCTGACCACCAACATGGTGCCCGGCTTCTCCGGCCGGATCCCCGCCTACGACAACGTGTTCGGTCTGAGCTATGCACGCGGCACGGAGAAGGCTATACGGGACTTCGAGTGTAACCAGGTGAAGGCCCGTCAGCAGCGGCAGCATGTCAACGCACTGGCTGCCATGAATACTTGCAATACTGGCCGGTCCGGCTACAACGCAAATTGCCCGGTGCCGTTGTGGAGCCCGTAACAACCAGGGCTTCCGAGCTGCTGGTGGCGGCACGTACGAAGGCCCGTACGACCGACAGGCGCCCTTCCAGTTTGTCGAGTCGCCCTACTTCATGGGCAACGATGACCCGCGCAAGTTCTTCATGTCAGGGCTACACGGGTTTCGTGCCCAACACCCAGCCGGTCATCGGCAACGTCTTCCCAATCACCACCAACAAGGGCTGCGCAAGTTTACGGATGAGCAGTGCCGGATCCGTCAGAACTTCTGCAAGCCGGTGGTGGTGAGCACAAAGAGCCGCCAGTACGACCCGCCTGACGAGCAGGTGTACGACTGCGGCCGACAGCTCCCGAGAACGATGAACATTCCCGACATAGGCGGCCAGTTTGACCCGTCTCTGATGGTGGGCTGCGGGCCGCACGCCCTCAACCAGCACAACCCCAACGAGGACTTCCTCCTGAACCGGGCCAAAGTGTCGCCGGCCATCATGAACCAGGTGCCGGCGCTGGGCCAGGACCGGCTGCGCCGCAAGATGCAGATGTTCAAGCGGAAGGACCCGCACCCGATCTACCGCGTCCAGGAAGGGCTGCTGCCCACCTACGGCGGACACGTGCCCAACCAGCAGTTCCGCTTCGGCGGCACGTTCGGAAAGGAAACGGTCAACGCCAGGAGCATTCATGCCGTTGTTGTTCGTACCATGATAGCCACGACCGAATTCATCCGCGAACCTTTCATTTCTACTTCGCGTCAAAATGCGTAGAGCATCGACTTCCAAACGAGGTGTTTAAAACAGGCGCCGTTTTCGCCATCGACTACAACCTGCATCGGAGCAAAGCAGTGTCACTTACCGCCAGTCACAACGCGCGTTAACTGACACTCCTTTCAGAAAACTACGCTGCATGTTTCCCGTCTCATTTGTCACCAATATATTAGTCTTGCGAGTACATGACGTGGAACAGACTAGAGACGTATTAATCACATCGTCGATGACGTGCGATAACCCAACCTGCCCGTTTTCTTCTAAACGAGAAATCAGTGTCCACACGTGTTAGGGTGGGATAAGCAGGGCGGCAATGGCAGTACTAAACTAAATGTCCACTGAACTTCGGGCACGCCAGAACCACTACACTTTCCACATATCGGCTGAAAATATAACGCAAAGACATCCAAAACACAAAAGCGGCCTCTGGGTAGACGGACTACTGGACGTTAGCATCACTAGACCGACCCAGTCCGGCGCTTTCACGCTTGTCCAAACAGGGCACCCCCCCCCCCCCCCCCCCCCCCTACTTCCGCAAATTCCAGCAACACCCATCACGTAACACTTTGGGAAAACCGGTTAAAACTTGGTTTGACCCACTTCCCTGCCAACTCCCGAGGGGTTTCATCACCACTGTGGTGCGGTGTCAACCAGCCAATGACCCTGATCGACCACGGCGTGGCGCCAGCTGAGCGGCCAGTTCAGACACACCACCCAGCGCGGGACATATAGGCTCAGCTGGCGGCCGGCAGTCTCTCAGTCATCACGTCCGGTCTAGTCGCTCATTGACTCTTTCAGTTGCTTCAGAATGCCCTCCGCCTTTTCTAGATTCTTGTCGTCCTGCGAAAACCAATGACGACGCGTGAAGGCCATCAAAGCAAAACAGGAAATGCCAGTCAAGGGAGAACATGTTAACAGCTCAAAACAATTCCTTTTATATGGACATACGCACATCCCCGAGGCAACGAACACCCCGAATGCAAGCGATACTCCTTTTCAGCAAGGATAAAATTCGCCCTGGCCGTTGTCTCGCTACGCTGTCTCAAAACACCACCCCGTGCATCACTCTGCAGATGCGGTCGGTGAGCGTACCCCACTAACACGTCCCGCACAGCGTCGGCGAGACCCGCCGTCGCACCGAGTGAGGTCCAGAGGAGCAGAGCATTAGCCCCGCTCAAGCACACAACCGCTGACATAGAAACACTGCCCAATTGTCGTCAGCGTAGGCAGATTATCAGTGAAGCTTGCGTCCGTGTAGAAGCCATAACCGACGAAACGCAACACGCGTGCCTATGCCCGAGCCACGTGTCGCCAAGTGTACACGCGTCAAATGTCGCGGTCATATAGCGACACAGCCGCGGCGTGCCACGGACAGTTACGCCTAAACGACGCCAATCAACACACCGCACCTCGGAGTGAATGGCTGCGACAAAAGACCGTCATCGGACTTGGTGCGAGCTCCACCAACCTTTATAAAGCAGAATCGAATGTAGTTCTCGCCGAGGCTCTTGTGCTCGTCCGAGTAGAACGACGACGGTGGGATGCCCTGCAGCTTGTGGTGGTGCACCAGCCAGTACACGAACCGGTGGTCGTCCGGCTTACCGGGCGCGTACGGCGACAGGTCGATCTTCTTCTTGTCTGAAAACGGCCGCCCCGTCATGGCTGTTGCCGCTTGCCACTCTGATGCATGGACGCAAAGAACCCTTTTATGCGGACGTCCCGCTGCTACGGACGTCCCGGAGGCAAGCGGTACTACTTTTCATTACGAGTAGAATTGGCTCTTGCTGTTGTCTCACTACGCTGTTCCAAAATACCATCTCGCACATCAGTCCGTATGTGGGACCAGTACGTGTACACCACTAACACGACCGGCGCTTTGGTCGGCCAGCGGTCGCCGTCTCACCGAGCGATGTCCAGTCCGCGATCATGAAGTAGCCGCCCTCGGGCACGATGGGCGTCATGCCGCAGTCGGTCAGGAAGCGAGCCATGAAGTCACGCTTGGCCAGCAGCTCCTCCGCCAGCGAGGTGAAGTAGCACTCCGGCTGGCCCATCAGCGACAGCTCGTGCTCGAACGAGCGCGCCAGCGCCTCCTGCGGCCGGCGGAAGCACCAAAGGCTGGTCACGGCGGCGGCGCGGAAACCAAGCCCGTCAGCACCCGGTGGCATCAGCCCAGCCCAGCCCAGCCCATGCTTTCGTGCACTGTTATCGATGGCAGACACAGAACAGAGCTATTTGAAACGGAGGGCAATGTAGAACGTGTTCAACAGCACCTTTGCGAGCACAAGTGTTTAATAAGGGACTATCAATACGTTATGTTCCCACTGCCCTCTCCAACTGATCCCTGTGCTTGGTGATTGGTCTGCCATGTCATGCCTGCCACGTCATACACGGCTTCCACAGCCAGTAACACGCCCGAATCGAAATGCAATGCCAGTCCCAAATTGCCACATAGGTGGCACGGCAAGGCACCTGCTATTCCCGTTCGAACAGCCCTTTCCCTACCCGAACCCGACCTCGGCGCGCAAAGCCGTTTGACAAGAGCAGCGGCCGCCGCCGCCGGTCGGCGCGGACCCCACTGACCTGAAGCGGCGTGTTGCACGCGTACAGCGTGTTCTGGTGCACCACCTGCATGTTGCGCACCAGCGAGGCCGGCCCGTACGCCCAGCCGAGCTTCCAGCCGGTGACGCTGAACGTCTTGCCGGCCGAGCCGACCGTGATGGTGCGCTCCCACATGCCGGGCAGGCCGGCGATGCGCACGTGCTCGGCCGGGGCGAACACCATCCACTCGTACACTTCGTCGGAGACGCACAGCACGTCGTGGCGGTGGCACAGCTCGGCGATGGCCTCCAGCTCGGCGCGCGTGAACACCTTGCCCAGCGGATTGTTGGGCGTGTTGAGCACGATCATCTTGGTGCGCGGCCCGAAGGCGGCCTCCAGCTCGGCCGGGTCGAGCGCCCAGTCGGCGGAGGAGCCGGTGGCGGCGCCGGGCCGCCGCCGCAGCGGCACGAACACCGGCCGGCCGCCGGCGATGCGCACCATCGGCTCGTAGCAGTCGAAGAACGGCTCGATGATGATCACCTGCCGGGCCGAGGCGGCTCAGACGAGCGCGACGGAACGGAGGCGAGACGCCGCCCGCCGGCGACGGACGCGCGGCGACGGACGGACGGCTCGACCGGCGTGAGCAGCGTGACGCCGCGGCAGCCGGCTAACGCCACCAGACAGTGTCGCGGCGCAGCAACGCGATCAGTCAGTGCGCTGTACGGTATATGTAAGACGGGTGTCCGGGTGATATTCTACTGAATTCTTAACATTTCTACTGCAGCGCACGACGCACTCAAACGATTCTGACCCTTGACTTTCAACAGCACGGCATAATGAATTATGACGTAACAACAAAACGAAACAACATTTTGAGTTCAGGTTTTGGCTCAAGACTCTGCACTGGAACTGATTCACAAGTTCGCTCAAATAAGTCCAGTTCATGCAAGCAAGACACGCTCCTGGTTTTTCGGCATTATGAGTTTTAAGTTCATATGCTGATAAAAATCTACCTTCAAACAGTGGCGAAACTAGGGTTTCGTCAAGAGGGGGGGGGGGGGGGGGGGGGAGGACGACAACATTGTGTGCCCGCTTGACTTAGTATACGCGTACAGGGAGCTTGGTCATTTTCTTCAGATCATGGCGGGCCCCCGCCATTTTCGGGCCAAGTATTTAGGAAAAATATGGCAGAATGAACTAAATATAGCTACCAAATGACGTCAAAACCGAAACACGAACTTTTGTTCCGATTGATAAATTTGAGTACACCCTGGGTTTCTTGCAAACTCGCAGATGTGAATAAAATAATTGCGCTGCCCAAAATCTATGAGCATGCTAAGCAAATCGCAGCATTCCTACGGCACATCGCTTGTCCATGGTCACACAAGGCGTCTTACTCCCTCCAATTACTGCTACTCCAAACGCTATAATGATAAGTTCCCTTCTTCGGACTGGTCGACACATTGATTGATCGATGGGTTGGCTGAGACCATCGCAACGGTCAGAGGAATTGGTTCATTTTGGATCCCGCACGGACGGCAAAACCGCGCTCCAGCTTGACAGATACTGCTCTAGTCGAGCCCATATGTTTGAACAAAAGTGACAAGTCATGCCACGCCATGGCTAGTCATGCTGAAGGGCACACACGCAGGTAGCGCAGGATTACCAAATCTCCACACTTGAACACGCTGCCGATGGTTGGAGCAAGCGGCAAGGTATTTCCACTGATAGGGCGTCTAAACACAAAACTACCATCCGAGAGCGCAGCCACCCGCCACGGCGCACTACGCGGCAGTGTGGTGGTTAGCTACACAGCTCAAGGACGACCAGCCGAAGCCTCATTTATACAGGTTTCAATTTAAAACTATTAAGTTATATATGGGCGAAAATGACCATCGCAGTCGGAGCACCCTAAAACTCCAATCATCAATATCATCACAATAAAATTATACAACGCTTTTGAATTTTGAAATTTTGGATTTTGCATGAATTTCAGGGGCACGTCTTGTCATATCATGAGCAGGTAACCACACCACTGGTCATAAAATTCGATAACGCCGAGGTCCACATCTATACGTTGAAACTGAGATTAGAAACACACCTAACAGGCCATTACGACAGTCTGGAAAATGATGCCCCACATTTGCAAGCTCGTAAACCACTTGACTAATGTCACTGCAGCCGCATATGAATGTCCATGAGGGATGAAGGCATCCCTCACATGTTACCGACGCCCCTCAGCTATCTTAAAGGATATCAGGCGTCCGAGTCGTCCGCACGTGTCATTCACATATCGAACACACGTTAGTTGCGACTACTGCTTAATGCTAGTTAGTGCTATATAAATATTGTAGAACACGCATTCGCAGCTCTGATTCCCTTTTTTCAAAAACTGGCGCTGTGACGGCATTCCCAAACAAGCTCACCTGCACCCCGAGGCACCATTACGCTCAGTGGCACTAGCTTTAATCACCCGCCGGTTACTTCAAAGGCCTGACCTAACCAATGTCACTTTACCGTTTGTTCAACCTAGACCATCGCCTTTTCGCTTGTTCAACTTAAACACATCAGTCGGAGACGCTGTGGCTCGGGAGGAACGTGGAATGAGCGCGAGCACTGAATGACTTGGCTATTCTGTCGTAAAGGGACCAAAACGTACTCACAAACGGGGCGCTCATCCTCTGCCACTCACCAATACGCTCGATCTCCTCTACTCTCTTACGCACTCCCAGTTCACTCTTTCCGTCTCTGGCTCATCACCACACTATCTCTGTCTCTCCGTAACATTGCAGCGCACAGGCGCTGTAGCGCCGCTAGGCTCTAGCCGGCCGGCATCGGAGTCGGGTCCCCAGGGCGCCGGTCAACGCCCCCCCCCCCTCCCCCCGGCGCCGGTAAGCGAACTCGCCAGGGCGCCGGTCAGCGGGACCGCCAGGTCTCGTCTCGTGTGGCATCGCGTGATGCTTGAATACAGCCGCCGTTAGATCACGGCGCGGCCTGAAGACTCCGCTCCGACGCTGCCATTACTGGCTTGACGCACGCCACGCTCTTTCACCCCTCCCCCCCCCCCCCTGGACCCTGAACCCATCTCTATCAACTGACTCAGACTCAACCCAGTTCTCTCGACTGGCTCATAGACTCTAAACCCACCTCTCTCAACTGAGTCTCTTTCCTCGCCTCCTATACGGAATTCCTTAACTACAGGGACAGTGGCCTTAAACAAAACTGATGATGGCCATACAAATACGGTCCGCAGCTTAGTGCGTCACGCAAACTGTCTTCTCCAGCGTCGAATCACCAGCGCTTCTGAGCCACCCGTACCATTAACTTCCCATCGGTACAATCACGTGGTACACGGGTTCTCAACACAGACGCCGCGTCGCGTCTGTCGGCGTCGCGCCACACTCGGGCCGTCCTCACCTCATCGCCAGGGTTGACGTGGCCCAGAATGGCGTTGTAGAGGCTGCCGTAGGCGCCCTGCGACACCAGCACCTCGGAGAACGGGTCGATCGTGCGGCCCAGCAGGCCGCCGTACAGCTTGGCCAGTACGTTGACGAGACGCGGGTGGCCCTGCCGGCGACAGCGGAGCGTCGGTCGGGCGCCTGGCGGCGGGCGGGGCTCCGACTCACTGTGAGGACCCGGTCCTTGCGGGCGGGGCCGGTCCGGAGCGCGGAGCGGCGGCTGCGACGACCCGGTCCTCGCGGGTGGGGCCGGTCCGGAGCGCGGAGCGGCGGCCGAGACGTCGCAGACCGTCATCAATGCGTACCGTAGTCGGAGAGCGGTGCGCGGATCCAACGGCATGATTTCAGCTCTGAAAGGCTTTCTAAAGCTCCGTTTCAACTTGATATAGAAATACGTGGCTGGCCATGATCATCAATTTGTTGCTGCAATGCCGCACCACACCTGCCTGTATGGAAAGGACTACTGCGCACCAAAAATGGTATCACCACAGCGATGCATGCTGATACCAGGTGACGACGATCACAAAAACATGGGCACGGATGGACGCAAGACCGCCACCTGTTCTACAACGCAAGCCACCTGATCTGCTGGCTAAAGAATCGTCCCTATAACCGCTGCGTCGGTGACGCCCCGCGGCGCGCTGTCCCAGCGGCGGCCGTCTGGGCGGCCGCCAGGCATCGCTGCAGCACGCTCCGCCCCCGCGACTCACGTATCCGCGGGTGTACTGGTTCAGCAGCAGGTTGGGGTCGGCCATGACGTCGGCCACCCCCTGAGTCACGTGCTTCGGGCAGCCATAGTCGGGGAACCCCTGGCCCAGGTTCAGAGGCTTGTTCTCCAGTGCCAGCTGAATGAATTCAACCCTGCCAGAGGTGGACAAGTGGGCGTTGTGATCCGGGCATCCCCAGAAGGAGGTTACGAAGCTGTTTTGCATTAGGGACGGCGATACCACACACACGATTTTGACATTCCTCTGGCCCCGCATTGCAGGAAGCTGGCAAATGTAAAAACCGTTCACACGGCCGCTTTCTTTACGAGTGTCGGACGAACACAGCCCGGGCTATACGCCCCGAATATTCTACCAGCGTTATACTTGCCCTGAATGCGTCATACGAGTCGACAGCTATCGCCGCCGCAAGCATAATATGCTTTCTTCCCCCGCTCCCGCCTGGTCCCGCTGGACATCCTTAAAGGGGAGAGGAGCCCACGGAATTTTGTTTGAACGTTTGAATGCTTAATGCACAATTTTTCTTAATTCTAATTTTAGACGATTGCCGACGGCCTTTTACTGCAGGTTACTTGCATTCCCAAACATTGCAGATGAATTAAGCAGACATTTGTAGTTCAGGTATGACGTGAACGGCGAGGGGCAGGTCATCTTGGATCCCAACTAGAGCAAATTCGGACATGCATCACACGTGACACTTCCCGATAGTCACCTGCTTTTGACGCTCGCTCGACGGGCCTTAAATAACCACCAGCATGAGCAGACAAGCGGCCCACCAGCCTAACCTTACCCCTGTAAAACGTCCCTATTCGTTAGTTATTGAGTTTTAAGGGTTTGCGCCTCTTTAAAATGTCCTCTTCTACCTCCCTTGGCCTCTCTTCATCCATCGTAACGACGGACACGTTAACAAGCAAAATAATATGGACATAGCACCTGGTGCAGCAACACAAACCACGAATGTACGGAAACATAACTACATACCAAATGTTGGTCTCGGTGCCTTTGTAGCGTTGCGGGAGAGAAAATTTGTCACTTGACATTACTGTAGTGGATAGGGGACGAAGGGTTGCTGATGTCGGAGCTGTAACGAAACAGGTGGATTGCGTCAGGTTGCGCAGCTGGGGCAGCAGCCGACGTAGCATGACCTGCGGACAGAAGAGTACATACAGTCAGCTGACCAGGCAGGCTGGCTGGACATCAGTAACACCCAATAAGGAGGCAAAACGAGCCAGCTGTCACACTCCATCCAATGTTCATACACCATGCTTGGGACATCTGAAACCTCCGCTGGACTGGGGTCACTAACTGCAGTGTTGGTAAGACCACAAACTTGGAGGAAACAGGGCAGAAATTTGTCTTCACCTGGACCTCACACTTGTGAAAAGATTCTCAATAATGAGCATGCATGTACAATATATCTATATATATATATATATATATATATATATATATATATATATAATACTGGTTTCATAGCCCTGATGAAATACATTTCCAATTCATTTCACACCAAGTTCATTTCCAATTCTCACACACTTTCCTCCCTGTTCCAAACACTCTTATTGCTATGCTGTTGTCAGGGATGCAGACTCAAAGAGAGCACAGGGGCCCATGTCTAGCTGCCTGGGTCACTCAGAAGCTGAAGGACCCCTGGAGACTGAATATGAAGGATCTGAAGGGCTGGCTGAAGGCAATATTCTGGAGTGTCTCTCAAATGCTGGTCAGGGTCAGAGGACCTCTTAGGCCAATCTGCACACCATGGGACAATGAGGACTTCTTTATTGGTCAGAGACTGTTAACATCACACAGCCTTTCCCATGACAGACTATTGACAGACAGACAATGACAGACAGACAGTAACATCCCGACACAGACAGCCATTTGACAGACCATTGACAGGCTGACCCCCTTTGCCATTGACAGACCACTTTGCATCAGTGAAGGCCACCATGATGTTGCTTACTGGTAGCTGGTGAATACAGAAGGCTGGAGTGGAAAGGCCATTTGGACCCTGACCTGGAAAGGTCATTATCTCCTTGCAAGGTATGGAAAGGAAGTCAGATTGAAGGCATGAAGAAGAAGTGAAAATGAAGTCAATGTCAGCTTGCAAAATCAGTTGGAAAAATCAGTTGGATTGAACAAGACAAAATGAGTTGGAAAGAACAAGGCAAAACCCTGAGCCAAATCTTGTGGAAACCATTGTTTTTTTTTACCAAAACCATTTCCACATAGATGCAGGAAGCAGATCTACTTAAACTGCATGGCATCAACAAATATCAGAGTTTTGCTGAGTGATTGAGACGTGGTGTCAGCATTACAGATGAAGAACTCAAACTTCCATCCATGATGCTTGTTAAAGCAGCCAATCAAAATGGCAAAAAGCTAGTGTTGAAGCAAGCAATAAAAAGAGGAAAACTAAAGTCACATGCAGCCAAAGCAATTGCTGGCTTCATACCTAGGTCTGACCCCTTTTTTACCCATGGGCACCCCACTGTCTGGGAAAGATCAGAGGGCCTCCTAAGTCATAGGTGCTTAATTCACTTGGCCCTTGCGTGATCATGCTCAATGGCATAACAGGATCAAGACAAAGCAAATTTGTGGCTCTTTTGGATAGTTAGCCCCATGGAGCTTTTCTGGGAGAGAGGAAACTGGGGCTTTCTCCAAGGGCCTTTCATTCAGCTAAGTGCTATGCCTTTTCCCTTTTCTGTTCATGCACTCACCAAGACTGGCAGTGTCTCCAGCTGTTGTACATAGGGAGGGTGATAGTTGATGGCATTATGCAGTGACCTTCTCTGAGTACACATCAATTGCCTCAAAGTTAAAAATAAATATTTGACAAATAGAACAACAAATATCATAAGACACCAAACAAAATCTCAAAGCTACAAGTTGTTGGCTTTATCTATTGGAAAGTAGCCCACCCAAATTAATTTAAGAAATACATTTACATATCAAGGCCAATCACAGGGCAAACCGATGGTTCTTTTTTTAGCCCACATGCTTAATGTGGCATGAGGCATAACTGGGATGGAGGAGATTTTTGACCAAAGTGACAGGCACCTTGCCTGCAAAAACCATCCACTGTGCTGGATACTATGCATTCATTATCCTCTGAATATGGCTCCAAACTTGTATGCACTAATATACATGTAAATAGTTGAGCGCCAGAAGTTTTCAGTCCAAATGAAAGGGGGGGGGGGGAGCCAGGTGACCGTAGGTATGTACTATGGTTTGGTACCAGTATAGAATAACTTTTGCAAGTCCTACAACTGCCCGTATCACATGAATGAATAAGGCAAACCATACAATATTGGTCACAATGGCCATGAGCAATATTTCGGCATCACCGGTGTGGGCCTCGCGCTCCCTGAAACGGTCTTAACCAACTAAATCTAGAATAAAACGCACACAATGTGATGCTAGCTAATACGAACAAGATTCTGAAATACTTCTGGCACCTCCATTTAGGTCTACAAACCCCACGAACATACATAGCGTTACACCCCCCATCCTCACCCGACCAGTCCGCGTCCAATGGTGCGTGCCCCGGAGCCGCGGTGCGGCGGATAGCCGATTTTGCGAAGATAAAGCTCACCAACTATTGTCAACTGATCGTGACGTCACCAGACCGCAAATCTCTGCTAGCTTGGTAATGCTTCCGCGTGGGAACGAGTGGTAGGGATGGAACCAGACGGGATCAGACGGGACTGAACAGAGCCGAGAGGAACCGGGCGCCATCGGACGGGACCGGATGGCATCGATGGCACGTAATGGGACCATTCGGAACCGGATGGCTTCGGACGGACCGGACAGGGCCGAGGGCACTTGGGAAATGATCGAGCCAAAGCATAGGAGATCAGACGATATCGAACACCACCGGACGTGGTGATTGGAAACAGGACGTCACCAAACCTGACCGGACGGCGCCGGATGGGGTGTAATGAGTTCTGACAAGACTGAGCAAGATAGGAAGCAACCGATTCGAACCGGACGAGGCGGCCTGGGACTGGACGGTTCCGCGCAGGACCTGGCGCGACGGAACGAGACCCGACGGAATTGGATGGGACTGTACGGGACTAGACGTAGCTAAAAAAAAAAAAAAATGGTGGACAGGTTTCAACGGAACCGAATGAGACCAAACCAAAGCCGACTGGATTTGGTGGGACCAAGTATTCGGTACCATCCAGCCTCGTCTAGTCCCATCTGGGCCCACCTGGCCAGGGAACAGGAAGTGACATCCCGTCTTTGTTACGCGTAAACCGCACAACTTTGTGTAGCTTCTCGTTATACCTGCGCAGGGTCACTTCGTTGCAGTTGAAGCACCAAACCGTCCAGCCCTCGGCGCGCACGGCGAGCGCGTGCGAGGCGGAGTGGGGCGTGATGCGCGTTGGGGCCGGCGCATCTACAGCGGCCGCACTGCAGGCATATCCTGTACAAATCAACGGAGCCCTGTTGTCACAGACCTGTCATGATCTGTCGACCTGCCATCATCTGGCGCCTGACGTTCTCCACGCTGACGCCCTTACCTGCGTGGGCACACTGCCTTACTCTGTGGTGTCAGGAGGTGCACAGGTGCTTCTCCTCTGGAGAAGCACCTAGTGTGAACGTTACTGAAGCTGTATCCCCCCCCCCCCCCCCCGACTATGACAATTGCAAAACGCTGTCAGAGCCAAGTACTCCTCGGTCCATCGCCCGACAAGAAAGCAGGCATGTGCCCGACACCGACACAGGCACCGCCCGACATGCAATCAGCACAAAACAGCCTAGCCCAAGACTTTCGACAAACCTTTTTTGTCGGTGGCGCAGAGGCTTCGCCGACAGGGACTGATTAAAACTGAAACTGCTGAGTGAGGCTTGCGTGTTTTCTGTTTTCTTTTCTGCATTCGGTTGCTTTAATTGCAGCACCGGCGTTTGTTGGGGATGGGGTAAGGTCGAAGGCGGCAAACGTACTGATGCATGTGACATTTCATACCAGGCTCTCACCGTACGCGAACGGGAATGTGATCACCCCCCTCGGGTCTTTTAACTCCCTCCCCCCCCCCCCCCGGTTGATACCAGTGGATTCCAGGATAAGTGGGATTTCGGTAGTCTGCAATGCTTGCTTGATTACGTCATTGAATCCTATATGTCTGGGCAGTCGTCCAGCATTCAGACGAACAGTCAGTGCTCGACATCCCTTAAATGTCTATTTCTGTCCCACCTGTAGTCCCGCCAGCTGATCATGTTGGTAATGTTAACTTAAGACACGTTTTTGTGAAAGAATAGCATGAATTGTGTTAAGGAAAAACATAGATTGATAAAGTAGTAACGAAAATATTTCTCGCTAGGTGAATACTGGGACATTCAAATGACCGTTCAATGGCAAAACATGTATACAAACTTTTTCGAAGCGCTACGCCGCTACCGCTCTGATATTCTTCTGGACGTCCCAGGGGCGACTTAACGTATCGATCGGGACTAGGCGTGGCTCCAGAAGGACAGGGTGACACCGCACATGGTACGGTCTTCTCTGGATTGGCTGGAGGAACATCTCCCTGGAGTGCACACTAAAAACTGCTGTTGGGTGGGTTCGCATGTGGCGCTCAACATGTCGCCACTGGACTTAATGCTGTGGGAAGCTTTAAGAACATGTCCGCATGAACAAGCCAACAAACCTTCAAGAGCTCAACCTTACCTTCAAGCTTGAAATGGGACGGATCACTGTCGACAAGATCGACAAGATGACAACCATCCGCAGCAGGTTCAGCTGTTACGCATCCTGAACGACCAGGAGTTCATGTGGACCGTCTTTTGCGGTCACTATTTAGCAGATATGAGATCTGTGAAACATGAGAAAACTAACAATGTCGCTGCTTGTGCTTTGCCATGAGGTTTGCAATCAAATGCAACCACAGCCACTTCTGTACGACAAATGCACTTGCCATTGTTAAGAAAAACGTAAGTTATCTTTCGTTTGGGCCACCCTGTACTTTAAAAACCTGCCGCATACTGCAGTCTTTTTTTGTCCAGATCCACCTGTGTTGTATCATGAAAACCTGCCAACCTTTACATATTGGCCAAAATTACGGGAGAGTTCGCATTATGAAATCTTGACGTGCCTACAGCATGCTATTTGGTAAGAAATGAGCACGGTTTTAAGAGTGATATGTTTAGACACCTAATGTACCAGCGGTTCAGACAAATTCGCTGGATATCATTGCCCAGTATTTCATTTCGTGTTCATATGAATAGAGGGAGTAGGGAATGCTCAGAAGAGCATTGACAGGGCTCAAGTCAACATCAATGGGAAGGAGGGGGGGGGGGGGGGGGGGGCTCAGGCCGCCCCGGAAGCATGCAGAGGGACGCCCCCGTGTCTGAGATTTCCGGACTCGTCTTTTCTTTGTTAGAGATCTACTTCTTGCATTCTTTGCAGACGAAAGGAAAACGTTAATCTTTGCCGAAAGATGTGAAAATGGGTAAATTTTACAAATATTCAGGTAGAAAAGCGAGCAGCTAAGTCGATGGAAACACTCCCTGGCTGCTTAGATATGCATCGTTACTGAGCTTGCCCCTGAACAAAATCCTTAACTTTTCAAACGATGTCTAGTGTTCCGGGTAAGATGCACTGTACCAAGGTACTCGCCGCGGGGTCATCAAACTCCAGCTCGGCCCAGCTCAGACTAATGGACATATGGTCGAGGCCCGGCCCAGGCCAGTGAATATTTTGTCCCAACTCTGGGCTCAGGCCAGACCAGTGGACGTTTATTGCGGGTTCAGCCCAGATTAATCGAGCTTTAGTCCGGGCCCAGCCCAGACCAGTGGACATTTGGTCCGGACCCCGTGCCCAGCCCAGGCTAGTAGACACTTAGTGGACAGCGGACACTCTCCCTGGCCGGTCGACATCTATTCTGGGCCCAGCGTAGGTTAGTGGTCACTTAGTGGACATTGAACACTCTCCCTGGGCGGTTGACATCTAGTCTGGGCTCAGCCCAGGTCAGTGGGCACTTAGTCCGGACCCAGCGCGGGCCCGTAAGCTAATATAGCGTGGTGACTACAAAAGTGGAAACAGAATAAACGTTCTGGCGTGTTTGGTTTACACAGAACTCCCACGAATCTAACATCATTGAGCGCATCATTTCGCGAGGCGGTGGTCGCTCTCCAGACAGAAGATCCGCCGCCTCTCCTTGGGCGTGCGAGGTGGCGCCGGTCCATTTCCAAACAGAGGGTCCGCCGCCTCTCCCTGGGCGTGCGAGATGGTGGTGGTCCCTCTCCAGACACCGGATCCATCGTCTCTCCTTGGGCGTGCGGTGTGGCGGTGGTCCCTCTCCAGACGCAGTGTGGGTCTATCTTCTCTCCTTGGGCGTGCGGTGTGGCGGTGGTCCCTCTCCAGAAACAGGGTCCATCGTCTCTCCCTGGGCGTGCTGGTGTGGCAGTGGTCCCTCTCCAGAAACAGGGTCCATCGTCTCTCCTTGGGCGTGCGGTGTGGCGGTGGTCCCTCTCCAGACGCAGGGGGGGGGGGGGGGGTCCATCGTCTCTCCTTGGGCGTGCGGTGTGGCGGTGGTCCCTCTCCAGAAACAGGGTCCATCGTCTCTCCTTGGGCGTGCGGTGTGGCGGTGGTCCATCTCCGGACGCAGCATCTGCCGTCTCTCGGACGTATGATGTGTCGGCGGTCCCTGTCAAGGCCTAGGATCTGCCGCCTCTTCTCTGATATGAAGCGTGTCGGCGACGCCTGTCCAGACGACCCATAAAACGCCGATGAAATTGGATTTATTCAACTTTATGAACGTCACATTTTTACAACTCGAAAAAGAATACCCTGCCGCACTGCATGACATTTGCCAATTCTGAGAGAGCGTCCGAGCCCGCGAACTCAGAGACCCTTCTATTTGTGTCTAGCTTTATTGTTGAAATGGCCGTTTGGTTCCATGTTTGCGTTTTACAACAGCAGTTGGCCGTGACAGATGGAGTACTGGTGTGGCTATACGTGCGCCTCAGCTGTGGAGAACGGCCAAATTTCCAATGTGTTGTGCATTTTGTCACAAGATGGGAGTTTAGAGCCTTGGGGGGTGTGGCGTAAAGATTTGTTTAACGACATTAAGGACCACAAAGGACGTCCTGCCTCATATTGAAGGTAGTGTTCCACATTTGCAGATATTGAAGCAATCATCAGACATGGCATGGCAAGCAATCATCAACACATAGGCTCTTTTATAATTATTGGTATACCTTTAAGGTGACAAGATGGCTCTGGACAACACAATTTCTCTGTTTAGTAAATATGCTCCTTTTCACGTTATGGTTTGATTGCGTCATCGTACCTTGCACAACACTGATGAAGGGCTAATTGACGGTCGCTGTATCTGGAAATCGTGCTCACGAACGCCAGGTATGACCGACTCGACAATTATATTTGTATTGACTTTGATGACCGCATGGCTAGCGAAATAGCAAGATTTGCGTGGCGTTATTAGGGCGTCATGGATACCTGAGTGACCTTGAAATAATCCCCCGAAATAGTCCGCACATCTTCGCGGCGAGTAGCTCAAAAACTAGAAGCCCTCAGGTCGCTAGAAGGGCAGGGCTGT